AGGACAATTTCCAAAGACATTAAATGTTTGTGTGTTGGGGTGGGTGTTCTTTTACAATTTTTCCCAGACATCATTGACTTTTTGGGTCGTGGATAAATAGGGTCCCTAACACCACCAAAGTATAAATGGTAGTCTAAGAAACGTTTAAACAGTTAATGAAATCCATCACTAGACTTAACCTGAAGCAAGCTGGTCTGTTAGAATCAACAGTAACTGCATATTTAATAATAAGACTTTGTAATTTTATCTTCAATGTTAGAAACAAAACAAAGATGCCAAATATGACCATTTACATTATCATGTTACAAATATAAAATATAAGACTGGATGAAAGGTAATTGTCATTATTTACAGGTGATGCATGCAAACAGAATAATTTACAGACTATCAGAACTAATAAAGAGTTTAGCAAAGCTGCTAGATGTAACACCAATAAGCGAAAGTTCACTTACAGAGAAAATAGAGAAATTCTAGTAAACTAGAAAACTTTAAAAATACATCACTTTCTATGCCATAAAAACTGTGGGACAATAGCCAAGTTATGGAAACAGCCAAGATGCCCCACTACTGACAAATGGATTAAGAAAATGTGTTGCTTATACACAATGGAATTTTACTCAGCCATGAAGAAGAATGAAATCTTATCATTTGCAAGTAAATGGCTAGAACTGGAGAACATCATTCTGAACAGAGGTTAACCAGGCTCAGAAGACCAAAAATCGTATGTCCTCCCTCATATGCAGACTTTAGATCTAGGGCAAATGCAGCAATGTTGTAGGTCTTGGGTCACACGCTAAGGGGAGAACACAGACGGGAGGAATAGGGATAGGTAGGAAACCCAAAACTTGAAAGTGTTTGATGTCCCCACTGCAGAGGAGCTAATACAGTAACCTTAAAGTGACAGAGGTCAATATGGGAAGGTGATCAGGAACTAGTGAAAAGGTCAGGCGAGATGAATCAATTTGTAACACATTTGTGCATGGAAGCAATGCTAGGAATCTCTCTGTATAGCTATCCTTATCTCAACTAGCAAAAACGCTTTGTCTTTCTTATTATTGCTTATGTCTTCTCTTCAACAAAATTGGAAAAAAGGGCAGAACAGGTTCTGCCTGAAAGCGAGGGGGATGGGGAGGAGAGGGAGGGCATGGGGCGCAGGGGAGAGAAATGGCCCAATGTATGCACATATGAATAAATGAATAAAAAATTTTTTAAAAACTGTGGGATACTTAAGGATAAATCTAAGTCATGAATGACCTTATAAAATGTAAGAACTAATGCATTTATTTATAAATAAATGTGTATTAAAAATAAGTGCATTGATAAGACCAATTCATAATGGGAAACTCAGAATCATAAATAATCCTCCTTGACAAATCTGCACACCCGTAACAATTGAAAAATCAATAAAATCTTAATAAAGCCGCAATGATTAAAACAGTGGTTTATTGCCAAAGTTAGATAAATGGACCAAGTTAATAGAAAACAAGAGCCCAGAAACACCTCTGTAATTGTATGGAAACTGGATATGAAGACAGAGGAGGCTTTATAAACTAGAAAGGGAAGTATAAACTTTTCTTTCCAAAAGATGCCAGGAAAACCAGTTACCAATATGAAAATTAACTAGAGAGAATAGAATGTGTTCTTAACCATAGGTTAGGGAAGGGCTTCTTAAATAAGGCAATAAAACATGCAAAGACTAAATTTGCCACATTTAAATTTAAAAACTTAAGTGGTAAATATTACAAAGTAGATACATGGGTGTTTTCATTCTTGATATTTTTACATAAAAGTAAAAAGATCCCGAACCAAAACTAAAAATGTATAAAATACACAGGCATAAGCCTAGTATGAAATGTGTAAGACCTTTATGAACAGTTATTAAAATTTTATCCAGAATATAAAGGACTCAAATAAAATGAGGCTTATCATACTAATGGAGGAAAATTAATTATGAACAAGTCTGTTATCCTTAAATTAATGGATAAACTAATGCAACCCCAATCAGAAGAGCAAGACAGTTTTAGTGAAACTTAATAAGCTGATTCTACAATTGTTCAGAACAAAAATGCACAAGAACAAGAAAAAGAAGAGGAAAAAAAAGAAGAGGGACTTGCCTACCAGTGGCAAAATACAATGCAAAATCAAATGACTGTGCAGCGTGGCTGGGAAAAAAGACTTTAGATTCAGTGTCAACTAAACAACACAGCATATGACAAGTTGAAACCTGGAATTTCAAACTGGTGTAGGAACATGGAATCTTCACTAATGGTGGAGACAACTGCCTTTTCACTTGTTTGGGAGGCAGCAATCATAAAAAACAAATATCCCATAGAAAATTAGACAAATACTACATGAGCAGGCAAGGTACAGCAGAGATCTACAAATAGCCAACAAACTGGAAATGTTTGGTTTTGGTTTTATAACAAATCAGGAAAATTCAAGTTAAACAAGGCTATTTTCGATCATAAGATTCGTTTGAAACAACCTACAAAGACTGGTTCTACCTCCTGTTGGCAAGGGAATGGAGAAATGGGTCCCTTAATGAATTGTGAGTTGGAAGGAACAATTTTATCACATCCATTGAAATGAAAAACTACATCATTTAAACCCAGCAATTCAATGAAATTCAACCTGTATTATAGAAAATACATGTAATGTTAAAGTTAGATGCAATAGGGCAGTAAAATCCTATTAATGTAAATTAATAAACAAACTAGCTGTTATAATACGGTCTCCAAAAGACAGAGGTTTAACCAAGTCACTAATTTATTTCACTCTTAGGTAACAGGTCAAAGACAGCAGTTCAAGACTGGCAGGCCAACTTCTCCATCCTCAATACTTGATCTCTTTCAAGAGACTCCAGGGTAGGCTGAAGTTCCTATAGCATCCCAGCCAGCAAAAACAGGGAACGTCAAAGGGCGCACACACCCCAATTCCTTGTTTAAAGCCCAATCTGCAAGTTTCACTCATATTCCATCACTCAAAACTTCGTCGTGTGGTTACAACTGTCAGGGAGGCTGAGAAGTACAGTTGTTGGCTGAGCAGCCACGTGTCCAAGTAAAACTCAGGGACTGTATTAAAAAGAAGGGAACATGGATACAGCAGCAATCTGTGCCACCTGTTGTGAAACACAGGAAGACAGCCTGCAGAACACACTCTGCACAGAGTCCTGGCTGTGGGAAAGGAGCGAGAGTCGTGTGGGAGTGGTGAAGCAGAGTATTGCTAGAAAATTTTTAACAGTGATGGTAGTAACTAAGAAATTAAAAATATTTTACTTTTACACATCTAACATGTTAACTATGTTACATCTATTTGTATTGTACAAAGTATTTCAAGTTCCAAAAATTCTACTATTTTATCTAAACGAATCAGTTACTCTGTATTGTTTAAACTCTTCCTCTTAGAGTGTTGCTATGTGGCTCCATCAGGAGGTTGGATGCCCACGTGTACAGATCTCTATGCTGAGACACACCTGTTCTGGAATACGGCAGGACAGCAACCGAGCTGGAAAGAGGGCCACCTTGCACTTACAGCATGGCAACCTGTGACAGTTGTATTTTACTCAGTAGGATTAGGTTTTAACACTGTAGGTGTGCTTCCCAAGTGCTTCGTATTAGTGAACCAGGTCGGTACTTAACCCTGAGGTCGGTCCTGTGCCCCCTGATGGGGCGAGGCATACTTTTCTTATAGGCTGATTATGAAAATACAAATAAACAAAGAAACAAACCCAGAAACAAACCCGTCACGAATTTTGGCTCCCTGCTAAGCTAAGCACTCAAGTTTTAAGAGTTACTGATCTGTTTAAAAATCTCTTTGATGAGAGCTTTAGATGATGGCAAAGTGAAGAGAATAATATAATCTTCTTCCCTCAACATATATGAGCTGAATTAAAAACAAAAAAATAAAACAAGCCAGAATCCAAAAACGGAGAAAGAAAATTCTACCGGAGTCATGACTCTGGCAGGACATCTCTCTTGTTTAAGGAATCCTTGGCTAAAGCCATTCAAACAACCTCAGAACGAAGAAAGCCAGGCAGGCCCATGTCCTCTAACCACAGCCACACACAGCCCAGCAGACTTGGCCACTGCCCATACCCTTCCTGTCAGGGTCACAGGAAAAAGCAAACAGCAGACCTGGGCTCAGCTGCCCATCTGAAGCATGAGCAAGATATAAGCATGGGAGGGAGGAAAGCATAACACAGAGAAATGAAAGAGGAAAAATCACAAGCCAAAGGACTCTCACCCAAGAAATGCACCACAATGTGATGCCTACAGAAGAAATTTAAAGAATACAATATATTTAAGAAAACAAAACTTAAGAGATAAGTTGGTAAAAATAACCACAAAGAAGGAAATAACGAAAAGGAGGCTACAAAAACGCCATACCATCACAACCAGCATAAACACCGTAACAAACAGACTCATTTAAAAACCAAGTCACCAAAACAGTGTCACAATGAATGCCAAAGTCAGAGAGAGATGAGCACAGTGGAACAGGAGATAACCCAAGAAGAGATAGCAGTGCTCATTTCCAAAACAAGTTGGCACCCTCAGCAAAGCATATCCACAAACTAAGCAGTGAGGGTTCAGACACCCATGCGAGCATGTGGACGGAGGACCGTGAGCAGTCGCTCTCTGGTGACAAGGAGACACCAGCTGCTGGCTGCACACATGCACCTGTGTCACTTCATGCACTTGCTTTTGTTCTGCTTGAGTTTCTGTCTTATGATAACAAATTCCGTTTTCCTAAAACCAAAAGTCAGTGTCAAGGGGGAAAATATGCCTGCTGTTTAAAGTACGGCCAGAGTAAACTGAGCACAATTTTCCACAGATACACACCATATTGTTTATCCCACATTATTCATGCTTTACTAATAACAACGCCTGCTGGCTGGGGATTCATACCCCACACCCCCCAAAATCTGCCAATTTAACAGTACTTCAAAAGGATTATTTAAAGGCAAGTAATATGATTTGACAGAAAACAAATCTTTGTGTGTGTGTGTGTGTGTGTAGTAAACGATAAACTGAAACATCTGAGAGTTATGCTTTAAAATACTGCTGTTATCAGATATTGAAATAATTTATTGAACAGGCCTGACTAAAAATGACATGTTTCCAGCACCAATAAAAAGAACTTAGATTTCTCTTCTACACACTTCTAAATGCGCAGTAACGTGTTCCCTGACAGCATCTTTTGGGTAAAGGAACAAAGGTGCTCCAAGAAGCAACTGTTAGGTCCCTGATTTTATAGCATAATTTGCAGTGCCAAGAAAAAAATATCCATCCAAGTATTTTCTTTTTAGTTAACATTATTAAAACGTTCCAATTGTGGAAAAGAGATCCTTCTTCCTTGAAATTTTAGTTTTGAGGTAGGTACTATTTAAAGTAAACATCAAGTGCAGCCAGCTTCCCTCGACAAACATGTGATAACTAATCACAGGACTAATGATCAAAAATTTCCATTAGAAAAAAGAATTCAAAGTCTAGGGAGCCATATCACTCAGCAGTATTCTGGCTTGAGTTTCCAAATCCCTTCACCACTAGAAGTTCTATGAAAAGTGCACAGATTTCTCAACAGTTCTCGAAAGACACAAGACTGTGATGTGGACAGCTTAAATTCAAACTCTTGAAGTATCTCTTGAGTGCTGGCCTGGCCATCTACATGGGCCTGAAAAGCAATGAAGTTCCTTATTTCTACCAGCAGATCATCGTGTTCTGTGGTAGAGGACGGCAGGGCAGAAGCCTCTGGAAGGTGCCCGCTGTCACTCTCCAAGCGCTCTGGCAGAATCAGGTGGTTTCTTGCTCTCATTCTGGCCAAGAGTGAGGAGGAAGTAGGGGCCCCGGAAGAAGACTCTGCAGCTTCTATTTTGCCACTGAAGTGCTCAGGTGCGTGATCTTCTCCCTCTTTTTTCACAACGCCATCCTGGAAAAAGAAGACCACTGCACTGATAAACTGTATTTCTCACTCATGCCTCCACTTAGTTCCTCAAAGGCTGGGATGGGGGCACAAAATAACCTAGGTGCCAGGCAGTGAAGTTGCAGGAAAAAGACTGAGACTCCATCTAGTGCCAAGGGAAAGGAGGACAGGCAGACATCTGGGTCTGGCCAGTGTGGAACATTTCCTAAACAAATAAACAGAAAGGAAGGCAAGTCAGGCATCCCTGGGCCCCACTCCAGTCTAAGAGTAGAGGGAGCAGCTGCACCCGAGAAATGTCTCTGGGAGGCCTGAAATGGCTTCAGTGGCTGTGGGCTCATCCTATACTTCCTTCCACAAGCACCTATAAGATAAGGAGCAGATCATCACTGGGCCTCCTTTTCTTCACTTTCTGACCTTACACCTCAGGTGGGTTTTCCTAAAACCACAACACAAATCTAACGTGGGAAGGACCTCAAACTCCTGCAGCTAAAAGCACAGAATATGGGGGGCCAGAAAGGTTCACCATTCCTAATGTGTTCAATTTGAAGTTGGAGTCCAAGCCTAGGAGTTTTCGAGTTTTATCATGAATACACCCTTCCTTAATCAGAAAGACAGAGCACACTGAGTGGTGGTTTTGGCCCAGTTTCACTCCCAAGGCACCATGGGCAGCTGCAGATCAGGGAGAGGTGAGCACTCTGCCTTGGCAGCTCATCATGGACAACTCTGAAGGAGAGGACTGACACTCCTCTCCCTGTACTTCCTAAGGGCAAAACAGAGTAACTACTGCAGAGTCTGTGTTTTAAGAAGTTAGCTGGCCCTGTAGACTGAAATGAAAGCACATCACAAGCCAGAGCCAACAACAGAAATGTCGGGTGTCATGTGCTGACATGCTAGCAATAAACACTTACTTCACATATGCAATCTAGTGAATTTTTCCTGGACATTCAATTAAGGAAGTCCCACACATGGAAAGCACAAAGGCTACCCTATTACCTACCTGGCATTTTTCTGCTGGAGACATTGAAGAAGGACGATGAACAGAGAGCTTAGAGTTCCTCTTCTGACCAAATCTACTCCTAAATAAGGAAATAAAATGTTAGCTGCTATGACAGAGATCAAAGTACTCTTTCAACAATTCAACTCTCCCTGGAGAAACTGCTGTCTCCATGGTAAATCTTGCATAGTCAAGTGTTTCTGCAGTATCACCTTGGATCGCTAAGCTCTGCTCACCTGGGAAGTTCCATCTTGGAGTGAGACCTTCCTTCAGCACATGATGGCGACCACCCTCCCACCACCTGTGTGGGAAGGCATTCTGAAAGGGCATTCTGAACAGCACAGTACTTGCTGACTGCTGTAAAATGGCTGATAATCTTATTAAAGCTTAAACATTCTATAGCTTTTATTATTTTTAACAGTATCTCTCAAACAAAAGAGATTGCTGTTCCCCCTGAAAAGCTGGCTCAGGAAAGCAGGGGATGAGATTGAGAAAGAAGGTAAGGGAACAATGGCATTACCCGTATCAATCACTCAATTCTGGCCAACACAATGCCTCCCTGAGGAACACCTGTTACTATTGGAAAGCAGAACGTCTGACTTACTGCCGACCTTAACAGTGTGGCCTCCCTGCAAGCATGGTAGGGAGTGGTCTCTTACTTTATTCCTGCTGGTGCACCAGAAATCCCCCTGTGGCCAGTCCAGGTGGGAACACCAGACACTGCCCCCAGACACCGCTGACGAGAGAGCCTCAGGGCTTTCAAGGCATCCTGGGCCACTCGGTTGGCTTCTGCCTCCACCAGCACATAATCTGGGCTGGCTCCATCCATGATGGCGTCATGTTTCACAACGCTGTGCACGCCCACTAACAAGAACAAGGGAACAGTGACAGTGCTATGTCAGTTTGTGCATCTGATACTCTCCTCCTCTGTAATAATCCAGTGTCATGGGAGATAAAAAATAAAAAACATTTTAGCTGCTATTTTTCAGGTGGCTGTTATAACCCAGGAATTTCTGGAATAAATGCTGTTTCTATTCAACACTACCTGTCAGGGAAAGATACTAATTATTCCTGTTTTCAAATAATTGAAGGAAAGTACTTGCATCACAACTTTAACATTTACCCTCTTCTCTGCTACCCAAAAGAAAGGCAAAAAATCTCTTAATAAATCCTCCAGTGAGAAGAAAATTATAAACCACAATTACAGAATTTCTAGAAAATGATCACAAAAATGCTACATCTCAGAATCACTAAGATACATCTGATACAGTGATCAGTAGAACATTTAGTATTTACATAAATAAAAATAAATTTCCAAGTAGAAATTATTTAAAAAAAAAAAAAGCCTGAAAAATCCCTACCAAAACACAACAAAAACAAAGCACCTGGAAGAATGTAATAAAGATAAAAACAAAAACTAATGAGGTAGTGAACAACCATGGATCCAGTTTAGTAAGTCAAAATCATAGCTTACTGAGGGGAAAAAAACCCCTCATAAAACAGATAACTCACTAGGCTTGACTAAATCAAGGGGGAGGGGGGAAAATAAATTTACAGAATTTTAAATGTCAAAGGGAAATTATCTTGAAATAGAAGCAAATTTTATTTTATTTATTTTTTTTTTCATTTTTCTTTTATTATTCATATGTGCATACAAGGATTGGTTCATTTCTCCCCACTGCCCCCACCCCCTCCCTTACCACCCACTCCACCCCCTCCCTCTCCCCCCCCTCAATACCCAGCAGAAACTATTTTGCCCTTATTTCTAATTTTGTTGTAGAGAGAGTATAAGCAATAATAGGAAGGAACAAGGGTTTTTGCTGGTTGAGATAAGGATAGCTATACAGGGCATTGACTCACATTGATTTCCTGTGCGTGGGTGTTACCTTCTAGGTTAATTCTTTTTGATCTAACCTTTTCTCTAGTACCTGATCCTCTTTTCCTATTGGCCTCAGTTGCTTTAAGGTATCTGCTTTAGTTTCTCTGCGTTAAGGGCAACAAATGCTAGCTAGTTTTTTAGGTGTCTTACCTATCCTCATCCCTCCCTTGTGTGCTCTCATAGAAGCAAATTTTAAAAACCGTTCCAAGACTACTTTGTATAGTTGTAAACAAATTTGAAAACTTGAGGAAATAAATATAATTTCCTAGGAAAACAGAACAGTAATGTGGAAGAAACAAAGTTGCTGATGAGCATAGTACAGAGAAGCCGTGAGGCCAGTATCATTTATGAACTTCATGAGAAGATACCAAGTACAACATTAGCAAACAGAGTTCAACAGCAGTGTAAGAAAACCTAGGTAGGAGCTGTTCTAGGAATTCAAGGTTCATCCAGTATAAGGAAATTCATTATCTGATAAGCCCTACTATGATATTGGTTTCAATATCACCCAAAGACATTGATCTCTATAGATGCTGAAAATGCCTTTGACAAAATTTAATATTCATGCCTGATAAAAACACTTAAAACACTGAAAAGTGATCAATATATCCTTAATATAACAAAATATATATCTTAGCTTTAACACCAGAAAATACTTCTGGTGGGTAAACACTAGAGGTTATTTTCACTAAGAATGATAAAGTTAAGATGCCCATTTCCTCAAATACTTACTATGCTGAAGGGTTTTTTGTTTTTGTTTTTTTTTCTTTTGGTGCTGGGGATGGAACCCATGGCCTCATGCATGGTAGGCAAGTTCTCTACCACCGAGCTAAACTCCTCCTCTTCTTTTGGATTTTGTGTGTGTGTGTTGCAATACTGGGATTTGAACTCAGGGCTTCATGCTTGATAGGTGCTATACGCCTTGAATCATATCTCCAGCCCTTTTTGCTCTGGTTATTTTGGAGGCAGGGTCTTGCCTTTTGTCCAGGTCAGCCTAAACTTGGATCTTATCCATTCCAGCCTCCTGCATAGCTTGGGATGACAGGCATATGCAACCTTGCCCAGGAATTTGTTGAGATGGGGTATCACTAACTTTTTGCCTGGGCTTGCCTCAAACCATGATCCTCCTGATCTCAGACTCCCAAGTAGCTAGGTTTATAGGCATGAGCCACCAGCGCCCAGCTTCTTTCTGAAGGTTTTAATGATCATACACCTAAAAAACCCCAGAAAAATGATACAACTTAAGCAAAATAATTCAGAAAACAATAAACATAAAATTAACATAAAGAAACCTTCCTATTCACAAACAATAGCCAATAAAGGATACAGTGGTGGGGAAGACTCCATATGCAATAACAAAAAACACAAAACAAGAATAAACCCAAGATGTGTAAAACCTAATGGAGAAAACTATACTATTAGGCTTTAAAAAATGGAAAGATATCTTCTGCTCCTGACAAGAACACTCACTCCATTCTTCTTAATGTATATACTTACTGCAATTTCAACAGAAAAACCAATAACCTTTTTTTTTTAAATGAAGCTAGACAAACTGATGATACTGAAGTTCATGTGGAAAAATGAACTTGCATGAACACCTGGCTCTCTAGCTGCAAGTCTGGTGCTGAGGCGAAACAGACAAATCAGGGCTTGATCACAAAGTCTAGAAACAGACCGGCTACATATGGAAATGTACTATTTGATAAAGGTGGCATCTCAAGTCTCAGGAGAACAGATTTTAAATAAGTGAAGCTAGAAAGGTTGGGGAGTTACTTGAAGTGATCTAAATGTGGAGAATAAAACCATATACATAGTACAAGTATAATACATTCTTCTATTACCTAAGCATAGAAAAGGCTTTCTAACTATGACACAAAGTAAATAACAGATGGCCATGTGTGGATGCTCACATCTGTAATCTCAGGTACATGGGAGGTGGAGATCAGAGAATTGTGGTATGAGGCTAGCTGGGGGAAAAATTCAAGAGACCCATCTTAACCAAAGGGGCACGAGTCTGTCATCCCAGCTATGCAGCAAGTATAAACAGGAGGATGGTGGTCCAGGTTGGCCTGAGCAAAAAAGAAGACCCTATTCCCAAAGTAAGTAAAGCAAAAAAAAAAAAAGTGGCTCAAGTGGTAGAGTGCTTGCTGAGCAAATGTATGAGGCCCTGATTTCAACCCCTAGTACAACCAAAAATAAAATAAAATAACAGATGGTGATATTTTTAAAATAACATTCTCAGTACAAATTCACTATGTGAAGATATTTACAACATATATATATAAAAAATCAAAATAAATAGGAATATTAAGAACTATTTAAAAATAGAGGGGAAAAAGGGCGAAAAATCTGATTACAAAATGGGCAAAAAGCATGAACAGATAATTCACATGAAAAAAAGAGAAAAAGATAAAAATGGCCCTACAACTGTTGCTCAATTTCCTTCAGAGTAAAATAAATGCAAATCAAAATGATGCAAGAGTATCATTTGTCACCCTTTGGACTGGTAAAGACTGAAGTGTAACAGTGTCTTGGCAAGGCTGTGGGGATCCACATTTGCATACTGCTGGTAACAATTTCACCTGACATAAACTTGATGGAAAAGTTGGGCATTAGCTCAAAAAGAACAAAAAACAAAATCCCTGCAAATACATTTACCTTTTTTTGGGGCGGGGGGCACAGGGACAGTCCTGAACTCAGGGTTCTGTGCTTGCTAGACAAGTGCTTTACCGCTTGAGCCATGCCTCCAGCCCTGTGTCTACCTTTGATGTAGTGATCCCACATCTAAGAATTCTCTCTTAAGATGTTATCTCTTAACAGTACTAAAAAATAGGTACAAAATTATTTATTATAGCATTGTGATCAGAAAAATCAGTAATCTAAATGCTCAAATGTGAACTATAGTATGTCCACACAACAGAGCAAAAAAAAAGGAAGGCCAGGCATCAGTGGCTCATGCCTGTAATCCTAGCTACTTGAGAGGCTGAGATCGGGGGAATAGTGGTTAGAAGCCAGCCCGGGAAAATAGTTCAAGAGACTCCCATCTCCAAAACAACCAGAGAAAAATGGACTGGAGGTGCATCTCAAGATGTAGAGTACCTGCTTTGCAAGTATGAAGCCCTGAGTTCAAACTCCAGTCCCACCAGAAAAAAAAAAAAAAAAAAAGAGGAAGCTATGAATTAATATGGAGTGACTGTCAGGATACGTGATATTTTTAAAAAGAAACTGAAGAACTGGGTGCTGGTGACTCATGCCTGTAATCTTAGCTACTCAGGAGGCAGAGATCAGGAGGACTGCAGTTCAAAGCCAGCCCAGGCAAACAGTACGTGAGACCCTATCTCAAAAAAAACGCACCACAGAACAAGGGCTGGTGGAGTAGCTCAACATGTAGGCTCTGAGTTCAAAAGAAACTGTCAGAGAAATTATACATGTGTATACTTACTGTCACAAAAAGAAACACAGGAAAGGGCTGGTAGAGTGGCACAAGTGGTAGAGCACCTGCCTAGCAAGTATGAGGCTCTGAGTTCAAACCTCAATACCACAAAAAAGAAAGAAAGAAAGAAATGCAAGAAGTAAATGCCAGAAATTCATGAGATCGAGGAAGAAGGGATGAGGATACAGGTGACACTTCTCTGAGTATACTTTTTTGTGTAATTTTGACTTTTGTAACATTAGTAGTGTTATACACTTGAAAAGGCAAACCCCTAAAATGGATACAAAAACAAACACACATTAACCTAAATCACAATCCTGTTATCAACTGTGATAGACCGATGAAGGGAGGGAGGAAAAACAGAACCAACCCAAGAAACATTTAAGTAAAAAACCTTCAGACTAAAGATGAAAAGAAATATATTGAACCCTTGTTAGTATGGCTGTTTTCTGTAGTGTGCAAATAAATCTACATTGGGAATGATGCCCAACAATTTTTCACTCTTGAAAAAAGGAGTCACAAATACATGTAAAGGGCTATATGGTGTTGCATTAAAACTGGATATAACAGTATCAATTCATTTTCTTTTGCTTCATCTGTCTTACTGGGCTATAACTGACACACAGTGAACTCTACCTACATAAAACTTGATGCGACTTGACATGTGCATACCATGATTGCAATCAAAACAATGAACATAACCACGATGTGCAAAATACTCCCTGTGCCCCGTGATAATACCACCCTTCTACCTCCTGTCCCCACAGTAAAGATGATCACGTGGCTAGTTTTCTTTATTCTACTGAGGGATCATCGCTGCTGTTTTGGGAAGATATTTTCATGGTTCTCAACATATCTTTGTTTCTTTGTATATATCTTTTCTCCTGGGGTAGTTTCAAGATTTTTCTCATTATCATTTGCCACGTCCTTTGTTTTTTTGCTTGGGATTTATTCCCTTTCTCATATATGTGGGTTTATAGCTTTCATTAATTTGGAACATTTTTTTTACCATTATTTCTTCAAATTCAAATATTTCCCCTCCTTTTTGTCCTCCTTCAGGACCCCAATTTCCATTATATAAAGCTGACTGACTTGCCACAGTTCACTTAAGTTCTTTTCTGAATTCTCTTTCCCACTGTGTTCCAGTCTGCATAGTTTCCATTACAGGTCTTCAAGTTCCCTAATGTTTTCTTCTGCAATGTCTAATATGCCTTTAATCTCATGTAGTATATTTTTCACATCAGACACTGTATTTTTCATCTCTAGACATTCAGTTTCAGTGTATGTACATGTATATGTTCCATGCCTCTACTTAATTTTTTTTTCTCCCTTAAAGACAGGATCTCGCTACATAGCCCAGGCTAGCCTTGAACTCTCTATCCTCCTGTGTCAGCCTCCCAAATCACAGGAGGAATTGCTGGAATTACAGGCATGTGCCCTACACTTGTCTCTATTTAACTTTTTGAACAGATTGAAAAGTTACAGTAACTATTTTAATGTCTTTGCTAATTGTAACATCTGTGTCATGTCTGGGTCCATTTTTATTTATTTTCTCCTCATTTTGGATATTTTCCTGCTTCTTTTGTATGCTCAGTAATTTCTGATTTGGTGGCAAACTGAATTTTTTCTCCATGGGTGCTGGGTATTTATAGAGCCCTATGAAAATTCAAGTGGGGCTGAAACAGTACTAACTCTAAGGTGAAGCATTTCTTACTACTGAGGTAAGACCCTTCTGTAATATACCCTATGCCCCATGGAACATTAAGTTTTCCCAGTCTGGCTAGTAAGCACAGGCATCATCCCCTACTGTGGGAGGATACACAAATGTTTTCTCCAATTGTTTTGGGCAGTCTTTTTCCCAGCCTCAAATAGTTTCCTTGCACAAATACGCTGATAGGCATTCAGCTGAGTTTCAAAGGAAACTCTCTACAGAGACTTGGAGTTCTCCTTCTCCACCGCTCTCTCCTCTATTATACTCCCTCATAGGAACTTCCAGCACCTTAATGTTCCAGGATACTCTGCTCTGTCTTCTTTAACACAGAGCACCCACCTGGGGCTTCCTCTGGGTTCTCCCTGTTTTGTCATAGTCTGAAGTTCTCTCAAGGCAGCAGGGTAGGGCAGTAAGAGGGCTCAGTTCATGCTCCCCATCTCTTAGAGATCACTGACCTTTGGCATCTTTACTGTGTTAATGTTCTAGTTTTATTTTTGCATGGAATAGTAAGTATTTTTCCATCCTTGCTGGAAGCCAGAGTCATGGTTTTATAGACAGATACAGAGACAGAGATAGATGTACATGTACATGTTTGTATGTATACGTGCAGGTATACGTGCATATACACACATCTATTTCCTAGTCCTGCAGAGGAGCAATGACACATTGTTAGCAATCAACACTCCTGAAAACCCTGATCCAGGTTTCTCGGTACCATTCTCCAGGGTTCCCTGAAAAACAACTGACTTTGGGGCTGGAGAAGAAAAAGTACCAGTACGGCTTGGAAGATCTTCATGTGCCGGAAAATAAGCAGGTACTCAAAGAATAATGGGAACATGCCAGAAGGACAAAAGAGTCGGCTCAATGGAGCTCTTACCAAGCAAATCTAAGACAATGTAATATCAAAATAATATACAAATGAATCATAGTCATGGGGGAGAAAAAAAAGAATCCATGAGTCCATACTGATAGAAAAACAAATGAATAAACAAGCAAGGGAGAAAGAAAATGTTCTTTACAGTGGATGTTGATCACCATTTGGCAACCTCTACAGTAATAATTGGTTGAGGAAAGAATCATCAATGGATGTTAAAACCAGTGGACAAAAAGTCTGATGAAGAACAGGATATTTTCACAGCCTTAAATTACAGTAATTACAAAAGTAAAATGGGAGTTGAGAAATCAGGCAGACCCTACCTTCACCAAGTGATCTTAAAAGTTAACCAGTAATAAGGTAAATCAACAACATGTGTATCCTGACAGACGCACAAAGATACTGTAGTATTCCTGCCAACAATGTAGGCCTGTTTACAAGTGTGTGTAAAGTAAATGCTAAAAAAAAAAAAAAGGCTGCAGTAGAGTTCTGAATTCTATTTAAACTTACTTCTTCAATCTGAAATTATCTCAAAGTAAGGAAATTAACAAAAACATTTAACCATATTAGGTAAAAGTCTTTCTGAAGTGATACATAAAACCTGCTTTCTCAAACAGTGTATCCTAAACAGCAATCTTTGGTAACTATGGCCACCACATTGTGAATACAGTGACTACTAGAGGAGGATGGACAAGATAACACTCCTAGGGATGACGAAGCTGGGCAGAGAGCTCTGGCATCCAAGGTCTTGAGCAATTGTTATGTCAACTTCTCCTGATGTTTTTCCCTTAGTCTCAGCTATCAGTTTTCCTATTTCTACAATGCCTGCCTCTAGGCATCCCTCCTGACTCTCTCCTCTAGGATCTGTTACTTTAATCTCCTACAGTTGAAAAATCAGTTAAGTACAGCCTGTAAGAAAATCACCTATTAATATTCGGGTAGCACACATCTATTTAAAATATCTCACTTCTCCTGAAAGTGGTTACTACTATCTCTCAAAGTTTCAAATTCTCCCACATAATTAGAAAAGGGGGCAAACACAATTTTCAAAACATCAGCAACATCCATTAAAGGCTGCCATGCAAGAAGTAGCCTTCTCATTCTCTGTTCCTAGCACCTGTGAGAAATGTATAAAAAGCATTACCTGATTTTTTGAAAAGCTTTTCCAAAACATAATCATCACTGCTCTGCTCCCTGGCTGTGCTCTCCTGTTCAGTGTCTTGCTTGTGGTACCGCCTTCTCTTCACCAGGTGTGGAACTCGAGTTCCCTCAAACTTGGCATCTCTGCAATGCTTAGAGTTTTTAGGCTTTTGCTTTGACTGCAGAGGTTTTTCTGGGGTCTCTTCTTCTGCCACATCATGATGTTTTGTTTTTGACTTATGCTTATAAAAATGACTTTTCATTTGTTCATTCTCCCAAGGTGGTCTTGTTTGAACCAGGCAGCTTCCATTTTTACAGGAAGGTCCTTCCTTCTCATCAATGTTCACCTCATCAGAAGGCTGGGGTGTCTTGCCAACCTTTGGAGAATCCGAAGAGCTCCTATTTACACCAGTCATTGGTGGCCCCTCCAGTCCAGACTCTACATCTGTCTCTCCTCCAAGCCCAGCAGTATTACTACTTACGTTGCTACTCGTGTGAGGCTCACCTTTCAAAGGACCGCTTTCTTTACAAGTTACTGCATCTCCTTCAGCCCCTGTTGCCTTAGTTTTCTCTTTAGGCAAGGTGGCATCATTTGCAGATGTGTTAGAATCAGGTAACTTCTTGCATTTTGAAATGTCACGGTCTGTGTCAAAGGCTGGTAGGATCTTTCTTTTTAAATGGCGTTTGGGTGTCTGGACATCTGACCCAGTTCCTATAAATGAGGAAAACATAGATAATGTTCCACTACATAATTCCTATGCAATTAATTACTTTAAATTAAATGATTTTATGTAATACCTGCAAAAATAGCACTTGTTTCAGTGCTCTGGGATGCATCAGGACTAGTCAGGGTAAACAGCTCATAAAGATCGTTGGATTTGAAAAACCGCCTTTGTTTTGGATCTTTTAGCACTCTGTTTGTCAAAAACTGCTTGAAGATTTGTCTAAAAAGGTAAAAGTTATAGTGGCATGAAACAATGCTTAGCTCTACCTCAAAATTCCAGTTAGAAAACAATATGGGAGAAATGACAACTGCAGTTCTATGAATGGCAAATATGCCTCCAAACTTTCTGCCTTGCAAAATTATAATTCAAGACGTGCATAATGCATCAGGTGCCCTGACATGTTTTATGGAATTTAAATTAGCAACAATATCTTATTATTTCAATCCAATGAGCTTTTTCAACCTCACATTTCAAAAAAGACATTTCATATACATCCATGTGACTCACAGCCTCTCTGAGCAGCATGGAGTCAGGCTCCTAGATTCCATGGAGTAAGCCAAGAGTTCCCTAACCCTGTTAAGGATCCTCCTGTGATGGGTTCAGGAAATTCTCACCTGGGCTTTGCAAAGTCCTCACTCTAAAATGTCTCCCCCACTCCCACCTGCTGGTCCACACTCTGTGCTAAAGCCCCACACCACTGTCCTCTCACACAAGTATCTCCATGAGACAACAATGCTTCCTCCCAACCACTTGCTCTTCTGGCTAAAATTCTCCTCTCACAGGATTCAACTCATCTCCAGCCCTCCACAATAAGCCCTAATAAACATACTACACTCCAGGAGCAGCCCAGGACAGGTACAGGAGCTGGGTACAGAATAAGCACAAATTCAATGGTGGGGAAAGGAAAGAGGCTGGCAATGTCTGGATTCTGCTGCTAAAGTTAGCATTGCCTAAAGTCTCTAAGCTACTGCACAAAAAGTCAGAGGAAGGAACAAGTACCTTGTCAACTTCCCTCCTGATATGTGGAAATGCTAATAAGCCAGCTTCAACTTTGTTTTCATAATTTTTTCTAAAAGAAGGTGGCACACTATACAGTAAAAAGAAACATTTCTCTCAAATAATAATATCAAGTTTATACATAAGTAATCCTTATGTATAAGTAAGTAATCCTTATCTGAATAAGGTACAATTATCAGGTTAGAAGACATTTTTGAAAAACTCACAATAAACCATTAAAGCTTATTTTGATGACAAAGAAAAAATACAAAACAAAATGAAAAAAAGTATGTCCCTTAAGTAGCAGTAATTATTATTCTAAGATGGAAAATGCTTAAAAACAACACTTAAAAAACCTCCCTGCTCAGAACCTTCAGTACAGCATCGAGGCCAGCAGTCATCTACACTGACCGGTGGTAGATCTTCTCCTCAATGGTGCCAGCTGTCAGGAGCCTGTACACAGTCACCTGTTTTTTCTGACCTATCCTCCATGCTCGCTCCCGGGCCTGCAAGTGGAGAGACTCATCTCAACAAAGGGCCTTTCCCAGTACAAGAGCCAACTAAAAGAAATACAAATAGTTGTCATTGCCTTTTGCTTCCATTTAGAACTCTGGCTAATGAGGCCACATATACTGAAGGCCTATGAAAGGAAGTATATAGCCAGTTGATAAAAATAAAACCAAAGCATCTCAATTTGGAAAAAAAGTTCCTAACTTTGCATGTGCTCTTTTCACCCCACGTCTAGGAAAGGATGCTATAGATAAACAACTGAAGACTCTTCCAGTCTATGTACTCTGAAGGGTGTGTTCTTTCATGTGAAAGAGTAAGAAATGACCAAAATGTGGACTGTACTTAAAAGCCAGCCAACTAGAACATCAAAGGATGACTACAGGTGCTAACCACAAACTGTACTTCTACTTACACATTCTTGTTTTAAAGTAAAAACCAGACCTGTGTGTCAGTGCTTGGGTTCCAGTCAGGGTCGTAGATGATGACTCTGTTGGCCCCTGTCAGGTTGACTCCTATGCCACCCACGCGTGTGGTCAGAAGAAACACAAAGATGGACACATCCTATAGGCAAAACCCGAAACATCTGAGATGTGCTAAGGCTCTGCACCTCTGCCACCCAGGGGCATCTGGCTATTCCCAACACCTAATAATGGTTACATCCTAGAGTCTGGTGAATCAAGATCCCATCCCACCGCTCCTGCTTTTAATGTTAATTATATCATCAACATCTATAAACTGGGTTGTGAACAAGGAAAACATTCCTTAAATACATACACATGCATACATGCCCACACTTTCACACCTCATTCCTCAACAATCCTGAAGCACATACTTAAAAGCAAAAAGTCCCCCTTCACCACTACCCAGTGGGTAGCACCATCTGGGTGCTAGAGGATGTAAACACTTCTCAGATGGCTGTGGCTATGGACCCTCACTCCTTTTCTCCCCATGGACAGTAGCACTGTCCAATTCTTCTGTCACACTGACTTGTTACCTTATTGTATTTCTCAATCAGAGGTTGTCTTGAAGCTATAGTAGTGCTCCCATCCATTTTGAGATAGGAATAATTCTGGGCTCTCAGGAACACTTCAAGGATGTGTAGCATCTGTTGGGAGACAGGGAGACCAGTTTGCAAATCAAATTGCTCCAAGTGCTTCTCCACTTGTGTCAAGAGCTATGCCTTCCCCAATGGCCTATCATTAGAAGGAATTTCTGGCTTTAAGGCAGAGAAATAAAACTTCTACAAGCGTATTTTTGGTAATTCCTTATGGTTGGTTCTTATAACTTTGCTATGTAACCCAAGGTCAGACCCAAACTCATCTGGAAACCAGGTGTGGTCTTTTTAAAAGGCCAACTTCTGGATACCATCTCTAGAGAAAGATCCAAACCTCCACAGAGACACACAGGCTGCCACCTCAGCCATCAGTGCATTCTTGCTTTGGAGGTATTATTTTGAATGATATTCTCTTGTTTGTATTGGTGGTCCTAAGTCCTAAGAACTGACTTGTCTCTTGCATGCAATTTGCACACTCACCTGCCTCGACTGAGAAAACAACAGCACTCGCTGACCCTGCTTGTGCCATATTTTCAACAAAGACTCAACAACAATCATTTTCCCAGAACGTTTCCAGTATCCAAACTGGTTTTCTTCTAGTTCATCACCTGGAAGGCCTCTGAGATTCTTAGGACCTCCAGAAAAAAGATCAGGGTGGTTGCAGATTTTTCTTAGGGCTATGAGTCCGGAGAAAATCTGTGGTATAAGGGAACATATATGCATTCAGGTTACCCCACATAAAATAAAAGGAAGGAAGGTAAAGAGGCTTTCAATATATGACAGGATTAAAAAGTCATTCTTTACAATCTTCTTAGTTTCATCTCTAATTTCAGCATTACTAGGAGTTGTTATAGTTGGATCTGGAATCCCAAAGGCTCATGTGCTAAAGGCTTAGTTCACCATGCACCAATGTTCAGAGTGGGGGGGCTTTGGGAGAGTGATCGGATCATGAGGGCTCTGACTTTGTCAATGGATTAATCCACTGATAAGGTTCATAATTTGATGGGTTATTGGAAGGAGACTGAAACCTAGATGGTAGGATCTAGTTGAAGAGAGAAGGTCTTTGGTAACATGCCCTTGTCCCTTGTGCATGCATGTATGTGTGTCTGTCTGTCTGTCTGTCTATGTCTGTCTGTCTCTCTCCCTCTACCTCTCTGCTTCCTGGATGCCCTGAGGTATGTAGCTTCACCCCACCACATGCTTCCAGCCTTACCATGGCCCATAAACAATGGAGCCATGTAACCACGGACTGAAACTTCTGAACCCAAAATAAACCTTTCCTTCTTTATTTTCTCAGGTATTTTGTTACAAGCCATAAGAAATTAGCGTTCACTTAGGTTCTTTCTCTGACAGGGCAACTTTCTGAAAACAAAACAATTCTATTATACTGAACATGTCTATAAGGGTCATAGTCAATTGCTGATAATTCATTTTCCTTTACCAGAAAAAAAAAAAAGCCATGCACTTCACAACATTATAAACTTGATATAAAAATCTGACTCACCTTAAAAATACAGGTCAAAAATGTCAAACCAATCTAAATTTAGAGAAATTAGTTATGTGACTTATCAAATGCATCTAAATATTATATTTGTAAGGCCCCCATTGAAAGTTCTATGCAAGTCAGAGATTGAAGTTCCATTTATCTCTACATTATCACTGCATCAGAAAACAAATGTGCATGACAAATGCACAAATGGGAGAGGGAGAAGGATGGTCAATAAAGCAGAACAGCATGGAAGAATAGGGTGAATGCTCTCTCACCCACCCCGGTCACCGCCCCAGCTTTCAGAATGTGACTCAAATCAAACTCACTGGTGTAGAATTTAAGTAAGAAAAGAGAGAGAGAGAGAAAAAAAGCTAATCTTCAAACTTTGAACTAGTGAACAACAGTTACACAAATAAGCAATAAAAGATCTGAGTGAATTATAAGCATTGTCAAAACTCCCCAAAAATACATCTTGAACTCATTCTTCTTCCTTTCAACCCACACCATCCAATAAAGTAACCTCTAGCCACACTAGGCTACAGTGCACAGAAGTGCGGCCAGTACAAATTGAGATATGCTGCAAATGTAGAATACACACCCAAATTTGAAGACATAGTACAAAAAAAGGTAAAACGTATCAGTAATCATTTTAAAACTTTGATTATATAATATTTTGGCTACATTAGGCTAAATAAAATATATGATCAAAATTAAATTTCACCTATTTTTTTTACCTTTTTAAGGTGAATACTAGAAAAATGAAAAGCATAAGAGTAGCTTGCATTCTCTATGGTGATTCAGACCACCTAACTTGGCATAAGAGGAAGTTAGGGGAGACTTAGGAGGGCTGAAGATATGTGCATGATTTAGGAGCTTCCTATGGATACCACTGACAATTCAAACAAGAAACCAAAAGGTGGTTAACAGTGCAAAACAACTGAATCTGAATGCACAGCACCTGGGTGTTAGAAACAGAAGCAGCCATGTTGTGTGCATTCTCATCTCTCTGGACATCAAAGCACAGAGAAGACCAGGGTGGACTTCTGAGCACACAGTGCAGACCTGATACCCAATACTTAGGACTGGATTCCTAAGGCTTCTTTTGAAAGTTACTCACAGAAACAGCTGTCCATGACAACAGCAAGAACAAAGACGATTCCTCAGTCTTAGAAATTTTACATGTCAAATCAGTTAATATGCAGTTCACAAGTAAGATATGACGCAGAAAGAAGGGACAAGTTTGCCTGAAGCTTTCGACTAATGCTGATTATAAATCGATCATATATGCATAACTGAATGCTGGCTACTGCCAATAGCTGTGATGATATTACAGAAAAGTATGTGAAAATGCACTTCCTCCATGTGCCTGCTCACCCTGGCAGTCTGGACTGTGTCCCTACACTCTGCAAGGGACACCTCCAATCCCCAGTTCTGCAGACCTCACCACTGCAAGCCCCATCGCTAAGTGTCTTCACTAGACGAATGCTGGATTCAAGTGCAACTGTCTCACAGTGGAGATGAAAAGGAATATGCTCAAATTTAATGTGTGTCCTCTCACTTCTGGAAGGGCCTCAAATTTCACATCAAAACATTTTCATAGAGGGTCACAGAAAGCTCTTGACCTGGTGGCAGTATATGCCATCTAAATAAAATTCAGATGCCTGGCTTTCAGCACACACACCTCAGCTGGTCTATGATGTTCCCACCAGCTCTGCAATCCCACAAACACATTCTCATTTAGAGTGCCTGGGGACGCTCAAGTGGGAAAGTGTTCCAGAAAGCCAATTTCTACCACATTCATATGATTTATATAATCTAACTTCGGACAACACTGGAAAGAGGTTTCACAATATTGAAAGAAAAGAATGACATACAGATTCCTTTCACATACCAGGACAATGAGAATTAGAGTCAGACATTTGAACCAGAGTTATATCTGGCAGTGGCTCAAAAAATTTATTGGGGTACAGGACTCATTTAAGAAACTGATGAAACATGAATCCTCATAATCATCTCCTCATAATGCATAATTTTGGTCACGATTTCCAGGCAAACCCAGAAAGGCACCTGATGCTCATCCACATATCAGGTAAAACCATCAAGTGCAGGGCGTTGTGGTGACACCGTACCTGGGTTCTGGCTTTACAGCTCAGGGCTGCCACCCTCCCGCCATGGCCTTCACTTCTCTGCACCTCCCAGTCTCCACACTGTAGCTGTGACTGCACATACATCCCACAGACCACAAAAGAATAAACTGAGATGGCATGATGTGAAAAGCCTGACACATTTAGACACCACACCAGTTTCCTTTTCTCCTGCCTCTCTTGGTCAAAAAGTTGTTTCTTCAGCTTCTATTCTTTGGCTGACCTGCATCTCTCCATTGAGAATTCCATAAACTTCTTTGGAATCAATGAAATTCTGGTAGACTTTATGCTGCTCATCAGTAAGACGGCAAAATAAGACCTAAGGGGGGAAAAAAGCAATGATAATTTTTTAAAGATTTCAAACAAAGTAATTAAAATATCAATAAGGTTTCCTAATGAAAAGAGTACAATATATGCAATTTTAAAACAATGGACCTCTTATCAAAACAACAAATAATAAGGACACCTATCAGGCTAGACAAAGGGCATTTTCCCACTTCTGTATCCATCCACCTCCTAGGCCCTGCCCCATCACCCAACATGTTATCCCTTCAGGCTGGCTTCCTGCTCATCCTCAAGTCCAGGACCCACGTGCACAGACCAGCCTTCATCTTAGCCTCAATGTATTCAGACTACCTCTCCTTCCACACCCTGTGCCTGTACTCTGGTTGACAGAACTGACAGGGACCTTAATCTCACCCAGAGCTCCCCACTTTCTCAAGGTTCACCAGTTTACAAGACTGTGACAGCAACTCCTACCCTCCTGGCCACCTGGGCCAATTACTCCATGCCACTGTGTTTTCACAGATTTCCTGCCTCAGCTCTCCTCTTTCTCCACTGTCACCTTATGGCTTGATGTCAGTCATATTCCATTGGGATGTTCTTTCAGCCACCCTTATGACATCCATGCAGGCCCTTTTCAACCCACTGCACCTGCCCTATGAACTGACAAAGGCAGATCCACTCACCCATGCCTTCTCTACTGCTTCATGGTCAGTGTCCAACAGCATCCTCTACCCTGTGGCAGCCTGCCACTACCTGCTCCCGAAACTCCCCTCCACACACCCTGCCCATCACCTTCTGAAAGCCCAGAATGCTGTACCAACACTCCTTGTGCTCCCCACACCACTCACCCACCTCAACATCTACTCAAAAACAATCACACAAGTAGGGCTGGAGGGATGACCCAAGCTGCAGAACACCTGCCTAGGAAGCAAAAACCCTGAGTTTAAACCCCAGTATTGCCCCCACCCCCAAAGGACCACAATCTATCTAATTCTCTAGCTTCTACTCCCTAGAAGACCTCCACCTCACCTCAGTTTGCTTTATTCTCTGAGGGAAAAGTTCCAGTCAAGGTCAAGGGTGGACCCTCCAACCTCTGCACTGGGTCTAAACACCTACCCACTCATCATCCGGGGCACAGTGCCCCACCCGTTAAGACTCTAGAGGAAAAGAGAAGTGGGGACAATCTTTACCTGCACTTCCTCACCAACCAGGCAATTCTGAAGCCAGCACCTGCTGCAAGTCTATGGGACACGCCCACTGATGCCACTGAAAGTACTCCTAATGTGTCACTACTGACTTCGGAGTTTCCAAATGTACCACATTCTTTCCAACTCAGCCCACTTGCCTTTTGCTCTGATATTTGCAGCCTCTGCTCCTTCTAACCCCGCTCTGAGTGTCTGCCAGGCCTCCCCCCACCTTTCCAACTGATCCCCTTCTTCCATCCTCTCCTGAGGTGCTCCTGCTCCCTCAACTGCTTGTCTCTTCTAGTGCTCCACATAGTCGTTGGGTAAACTGATCCCTCAGAACTTTACCTCTGCAGCTCCTAAGTCTTAGCTACGGAACCCTCCGCAGAGCTCTAGACTCTTACAACGGCTTCTTGAAGGGACTTCCCACACATCCTAAATTCAATTCACCAGCTATGCTCTAAAAGCTGATTGTCCTTTGAAACTTCTATCAGAGCAGATGCATCCCTGCATCTAAGGGAAAACCTGGGCATCACTGGGCCCTTTGGGTTCCTCCTGCCAGTCTCAGCCTTGCCTTGTCCAGGACTTTGCAAGGCCTGGCTAGCACATCCTTCTACTTCCACTTTCTTTCCCTCCCAATACTTTCAATCACAGCCTGAGCGATCTTTCTAAAATATGAAGCTCAGGGTTTATGATTCTTTATTTCTTAAATTTGTATTTTATTCTTTCAAATACAACTGCAACAAAGAGAAGCCTTTCCTCTCAAATGCAAAATTAACTGAACAAATTATTCACCAGGTATTTAGCACCTGCCAATCACTGTGGTAGCTATAGGAAGAGTATAGGAAGTCTAGCTCTCCAGAAGTTTGCAGCCTAGTAGAGAACCTGGGAGGCTCCTAAAATGGAACTTTTCTACATGTGTTTGCTGGGGGATGGAGTGGGTGTGTCAGAGCCTCCAGGTGGAGGAGACATTGTGTGCAAGCAGAAAGAAGAGTGGCACACACTGGAAAACAGGAAGTGATCTGCCTTGGCTACAGCATAAAAGAGACAGTTTGTGATTACATAATGAAAATACATCAGTGCAAATCAGCTAAGTTAGTGCTCTTACGTAGGTCATGGGGTGAGGGACAGCAAAGGTATGCTGATGGGAAGATGCAACAATGGGCAATACTGAATGGAGTGGAGCATCTTGGTGAGTAAGAGGCCTGTCACACGTTGACCACACCAATTTATGAGCAAAGTCACAGGATGTGAAGCAGACAGGTGAGAGTAATAAAGAAAAAATAGAATGCCAGGGCAACTGGCTGCCTGAGAACTGGTCAGTTCAGAGGACTGTGACCTGAGGAAGTGGCACAAAGAGGAGAGTTTCCGAGGTCATGCAGAGGTAAAGGGCTCAATGTGGAGATGAGTTTTGGAGGAAGAAAAGAGACAGGGACAAAAGTAGCCTTGATGACAAATGTCCAAGATGCTTTACAGTTCCAACATTCAAAATCTACAACACTTGAAGGTACTAAGTAGAAGGTACAATCATCTATTAAGATTATAGAACACCAGTGTAGAATTTAGAAAGATCCTTTCAATACCTAAATCAAATGATATCAATCCCTTGCTCAATACAGTTCCATCTATTTCCTCCTCACAAGGAGTAAAATGCAGTCTTCCCAGGGCCAGCAGGCCCCTGTGCTCTGGCTTCTAGCTGGCAACCCAGCTTCCACCAGTATTGGCCACACAGACCTCCCTGCTGGTCCCTGAGTACCAGGACATTGTCCCCATCCATCACCTGGTACGTGCTTCTTCCCAAACTCATACAACTCACTCTTATACCTTCTTTGGGTCTCTGCTCAAAGGTGAGTTGACCACAAGACCACTTCTGACCATCCCTGACAGCCCTTCCACAAACCTTTGTCCTCAGCACTGCCATCCCCCTAACCCAGCTTCTTTTTCTGATAAAAATAACTACCTCAAGAATGAGATAACAAAACTTGTTTTGTTCACTGCCGTGCCCAGAGCCTAGAGTCATGGGGGGTACATGGTTGGCACCTGATACAATGAGTAGCAGGAATGAACTGTGGGCTTAAGGAAAATGGAGATGTTTAAGAAGAGTAGCTATAGGAATCTATGTGTTAACAGAGGGAGACCAAAAGCTATGGACTACAGGAAGAGTCCAGCCAAGAGCTGATGCTACAGCAGGAAGCAAACAGAGGTAGATACAGATGTGGATCAGCCACTCCAGGGCCACACCTGCAGGCCTGGTCAATTCATACAGGAAAATCGGAGTGAAGGGCAGGTAGCCCTGGTCCTTGACAAATGGCTAATTAACTCCTGGCTTTACAGACCTGTTCATTTTTATCTGGCAAAGAAAGGCTCATCTTGACATCTGATTTCATTCTCCGCAGTAGGTATGGATTTATGGTGTCTCGTAAGACACATGCACATTTGTATGCAGTTTTAACCTATAATAAAAGAAAAAGGGGGGGATTAGTTTAAGGAATACATTTCCTCTTACCTCTCAACTTAGAAAATAAAAGAAGGACCAACTGTTGTACAAAATTGGTTGGCAATTGGCTTGGAAAACTCATGTAAGTTCTGTATGCTCTAAGGGACGGTGGCTTTCATAATAACACCATCAGTGAAAAAATCTACCTCATTAACCAAAATGCACAACAAAAGAAAACACAATAATTTTGTGCTTCATTCCTCTTCTATATTTGCTTTAATTATTATATAGTTATACCCTAAAACAGAGATTTATTTGGTATTTGTCTATCCTCTGGGGAAAAACACTGCTTTCAAACAAATCTCTGTAATCTTGTGTTCTCCAAAAGCTACAAAGAACTGTGACTCTGTGAGACTGAAGATCAAAGCTAAGTGTGGGGGAAGCAGCAGCAGTGGGAACGACCAGCTAATGAGCAGAGATTACTGCCCACTGGAGACCTAGAGAGGAAGTTCAAGAGAAGTCCTGTGCTCCCAGAAATGAAAGGTCACTCACCGAAAATGGAGCTTACCTAAAATGCTCCATAATGGACACGCCATATGAGAGACGTATTAACTCTGTGCAGAAAAACAAAGACCCACAGCACAGAAAGCCACTCCCTTCTCAATTCACTTACAGGGAAACAAAGACTTCAATAAATTATTGATACTCAAAAATAAATAAATAAATAGTCTTAACAACTTAGTAAGTTACTATTTCATGGAATAAACAAAAGTCCAACCAAATTTTAAACCTAGGCGCGTGAGCTCTTAAGAATGAATGATAATAAAAAGAACTTGTCAGCAACACACACAAAAAAATTTCAAGTTAAAAATATTAACAAGTTTGCCAGGCATGTGAGTACACATCTATAATCCCAGCTACTTGGGAGGCAGAAAATAGGAGATCGTGATTTGAGACCAGGCCAGGCAAAAATTCACCAGACTCTATCTTAAAAACAAGCTGGGCATGGTAGTCCATACCTGTAATCCCAGCTGAGTAAGAGGTAGAGGTCAATCATGGTCAAGGCAAAAAGCACCCTATCTAAAAAACAAGAGTAAACTAAAGCAAAAACACTAGGGCATGGCCCTTAGGGGGCAGAGTGCCTATCTAGCAAGTGCGAGGCCCTGAGTTTAACAAAAAAACATTCTAAAAGACTAAAAACACCTCCCTCAAATCTGTACCCATGTATGCACATGCAGATGTTTGAATGGGCATGCATAAGTATAAAAAACAGGTGTTACCTGGGATAACAGATAATAACAAAGAAGTTAAAGTAATCAGTAAGTATTAATTACATTTAACTTCTTCAGTGTATCATCTGGACAACGGTAACAATTCCCTTTAAGATGAGATGGGTTATGTATGGTTTGTGATGTAGATACAATTAAATTTTACAATTTAACAACACAATACAGTCCCACCAAGGAAGCAAGTATTCCAGCTTGTTACAGAAACTCCCCACTCCTGTCTGTCCATATCTCTCTCGGGCTGATTGAGGACAAGGGTGAACTAAACCAGGGCTGGGCTGGGAAGTGGCTGCCTCCCAGCTCCTGTTTCTCCTGCATGCAAACCCTGAGAAGATGGTATTTAATTCCCACCTGGTCCTGTTTATGTTAGTAGAAACATAGGCAGGGATCCAACTGTGTTTCTCTAACTCTCATTTCCAACCCCTCAGTGCTTTGGAAAAAAAGATGCCTTGAGGGAAGAACCCATGTTTCTTCCTACTCCTGACAAGGTAGAGAACTGATCACACCCTAGGTCTGCCTCTGCTACAGAGGAGTAACCATAACAAGTCACTCAAATACCGAGTACCAATAACAGGTGCCTGTGAATGAGGAAGTTCAACCAGTTATCTCAAGTTCTTTTCAGTTCTGAAGCTCCCTACCCAGGCTGAACACACTGCCTCAGGGAGCAGGCCCTACAGTGTCTGGTGGTCCTCTGCCCTCACTCTCCTCAGCCCGTTAGACCTGGCCTAGCCATCCCATCACGAGGCCTTTCTTAGAGCCCACAAGCTCTGATGTGAGTATCTCCCTGATCACAGTTCTCGTCACCCTGTTCTGGTATGTTCACTTGCCAACTTCTCGCCTCCCAGTGAACTAGGGATGATTCAAGAGAAGCTTTTGGTTTCCAATCCTCTCCCATCATGTTAGCCCTAGTCTGACACAATAATTACCTATGGACAGACTATCTTCTTAGGATTCAATAGCACAGGGCAACCAGTCTAAACAGAAGAAATTACTGAAACAACTGGTAGAAGCGAATGACTGGAGACCAGATTAAAGAATGGTATCCAGTCTAAATTGCCTCCTAACTTCTGGTCTACCCTATGGTTATGTGAATGAGGTGCTTATTTTTAAGAAATGCACTGAAGATTTGGAGGCAAGGGTTTTCCGCCTGTGACATTCTCAGATGGTTCAGAAAACAAAACAGCATTAATTTGTATTCAACTATTGAGGGGCAGAGGAAGGATGATAAGGTACATGTGGCAAAACATTAGTAAGATGTTAATTATCAGTGAATCTGGTTGAAATGTACATGGGGGTTCTTTTACAATTCTTGTAACTTTCTATTCAGTTTCAAATGACTTCAGAATGCAGTTTAAAAAAAAGAATACTACAACTGAAGGACAACAGTGCTTCAGAGAACACAAAAGTTAATTAAAACTCAATCTCAAAATATAAAGATACATTTCTTTTGACAGTCATCTGATTTTAAAACTCTTTTTCTAATTAAGTATTCCAAAACATAAGAGTTTCCAGCAGTGACCACAAACACATTGACACCTGAGAAGGACTGCACAGACACCCTGCTCTCCCAAGGCTGGAGTGGCCCCCAAAGGTCACTAGCTGCCCTCAAGTTAGCTTCACCACCTGAGGTTCCTGCCTATGACAACACCATTGAGGTCTAAGCCTCAGAAGTTAGCAGGAGTAAGTTTGCTACCCTTCACCTCTGTTCCTTTATTCTATCAGCCCCCACATCTTGTTTGCCCTGCCTACAAATGGCACCTGGGTCTCTGGTTCCCCACCTCTCTTTTCAGACCATCATTCAAGCCCATGTCCAGTTCCTCACTGCTCTCATGCCCAAGGGGCCCACAGTTCCCTCAATGCCAGCCTCCTTCCCATGTCCCATGAATCCCTGGAGCCCAAGAAACCCCTAAGAACTGCCGTCTTCCAGCAGCCTGCCTAGACACCTTCCTGTTGCCACTGAGCACTGCTGCTTCCCTTTCAGAGCCTCTAGTGCCAGCACCCACAACCTTCCCAAAACAAGTACTTCTGGTCTGATCAAAAACAGTTCTCTTCACTGCTCTAGTCACACAACACAGCTGTGCTCTGTCCTAGAAAGCCCTCACTCTCTGTGGCCTATTCTCCCAGGCTAAGGAACACTTTTCGCTATGTCTTCCCTAATTTCCAGTCCTCCCTGGTCTTACCTTCCCTAAGCTTCTCACAACTTAAATGTACTACACAACTTGCACAAGATTATATGCTATCCAGAATGATTCGCTCTTTTTTCACCATTTTTTTACTGCTCTTGATTACATATACCAATTTTAAATTTCTTAAAATGTTCCAGACAGAAAAAATTTGTTTCTGGCAAAAACACATCCTAAGAACACCACCACCAAAACTGTTTCATTTCTATTATGCCAAGAGAAGTTTCACTTTAGGGCTTTGCATTATTTAAATATTTTACATGGTTTTTTAAAGCAAAATCACATGATATTTTTATCCGGAAAAATATGGTTTATCCAGAAATAATTTTCCGATTTTTATGAGATATCAATTGATAAGCCTGGCCATTTTCCTTACATTCTGAATAATTTGGCTACAGAGTAGTTTAATGTTTAGTGGGAGCGTTTTAAATATTGAGATGCCAAAGGTCTCACTGACTACTACTCACCTGTACTGGAGAGGCATTGGAATACCCTCCCATGGTGATGGGGACAGAGAACTGCTCCATAAACACAGGCAACGTGCCCAACTTTCCTGGGAAGACAAAGTCGAAGAGTGACCACAGCTCTCGGAGGTTATTCTGCATCGGTGAGCCTGACAAGATGATCCGATGAGGTGTGCGGAACTATTTTGGGGAATAAAATGTCTTTTTACTAAATTCACTTCTTAACAGATGTCACTATCCTCATCCCAAAATACTCCTGTGACACTGTTATTTAACACATTTACTCATCCTTTTAATTCTCACACCATTTTGTCCAAAACAGACATCTTATGTAATTTCAATTCTTTAGTTACATATAAGTGAAAACACAGGGAAGAATTTTTCTTATTGTTCAGGCTGAATACTATGGGTTAGAATTGGATTTGGTTACATTCTTACAACTAACCCTTACAAGAGACTTTAAGTAGCATGAGTAATCAAAATTAAAGAAAAAAAACAAAACATTAAGGGCAAGCATACAGAATTTTCTGCATTAAGGCAAGATTCAATAAATGCGCTACTAACAGCAGAAAGCCAATTCTAAGTTAAACACTATTACCCACTGGAACTCTCCCAGTTATAAGGGGTCATACCTGTTTGCAAGCAAGGGTGACAGCAGCATTTGGGTTTCGAATTTTGTGTCCTTCATCTAAGACCACATAGTGCCAGTCACACCTGCCAATGGCATCTTGCATCAGCCGAATGTAGGAGTACGAAGTGACCAAAATTCCATGACACTGAGCAATCTCTCTAACTAGCCTCTCCTAAATCCACAATAAAACAGTAAGGACAATTTAAAATGAGTGAACATAACTTAAAAGGATATTATTTCAATCGTGAGATAACGTAAGCACTTTATAAAAATGTACAAATACAAACATAACGCATGCAATCCTAATGACACACTACCAGCAAGGGCATATACTTTGCGTTTGGTTAATCTATGAGATAGCAAACACTGACTACTAATACGTCCACCACTGTGGGGGAAGACATTCTCAAAAAATAAGAATACGTTTTAATATGTAAACACCTACTCAATTTTGACTTTTATAAAACACCCTAAATGTCCATCCTTATTAAACAGGGTGGATAGAAAATTACTGGTTTAAAACAAAAGCAAGAATACGAAAGAAAATACAGGAGACAAGGAAAATAAATCATTGAATTCCAGGAGGCCAGAGTAGAAAAGTCTTAAAAGAATGACTTAAGAAATAATAGGGAAAAAACTGCATATACTGATAAGAGATCTACAGAGAAAAACATCCCACAATGTCAGAAATACTGAAAGACTTATCCTACTGAATGTCTGAATTCTAGACATAAAGAAAAACAGAGAAATTTCTGTAACAAAACAAAAACAGATATAAAGTATTTTTCCCTCCAAAGGAAAAACACTGCTTGTATCTGGCACTTCATCTGTAACAATAAAAATTTCAGAAAGCAAAGAGAAAAATGTTGACATTAATTCTTGGTGGGGGAAGAGTGGCAACCCTGGAATTCTGCGTCAATCCAAACTAGCAGTCATGCTTGACTAGCAGGCGCGGCTCTGAAAATAAGTCACCTGGAAGCTGGCTGGACACAGCGTGCTGAATGCAGATGGAGCTGTATGTGCAGAGCAGCACACTGTAGAAGAGCCCAGGCACCACTCCTACCCTGCACACTTGTCACAGACAGCAACTGCTGGAGTAAGGAAAGTATGTGTGACCACCATTAACCCCCATTTTACAGATGGAAACCATGGCTTAGATTTAGAAATGGATGTATCAGGTCATGCAGCTGGTGAGTGGGAGAGCCAGGATTCCAAGGTAGGATAGCTCAGTACAAAGCTAAACCTATTAAGTAGTAGGCTGTACTGCCTCTTACTGTATTACAAAAGAAAAACTTGAAAAGGGAAAATTATGTGTAATATCCATACTATTTCTTTAATCATTAAAACATAGCAAGTAAGTCTAAATATTAAAACTTAAATGTAAACAAAACTGGTAAACTAATTCCTGTTTAGTTTACTAGAACCTGGAGTGAAGTTAGGGGAAAATAAAAGTGAACTAAAAACCCCACCCTGTCCAAGGATATTACTTTTAATTCTTTTATTTATTTATTTAATTCTATCTATTTAGGTATTCATTTATTTATTTTAGGTATGTAATACTTTTAATTCTTAAGGGGCAAAGGATATGTTAAATACATTTGTAAAAGTTAAGCTTATTACTAATTAACATTGTCATCTCCATAGAAACACTAGGAAAAAAAAATAGAACTATCATACTATTATATAGGAAACAGTAATAAAAATGGCAAAAAACAGGAAAATAGAATACAGAAAACAAGGTAGCACAATTCAGAATAAACACACATCAGATACATGACAACATATAACAGTGGGTTAGTAACAGCGAGACTTTCCACCCAGGAAGTAAGCAAAACTCTAGGCTTAAGTTAAAAGGAGATCCAAACCAGACTGGCACAGAATGTTGAACTATGGGAATTATAAAAAACATACAAGGAAATGCTATACTAAAAAAGATAGGATTAGCAAAATAAATATGAAATAGAAATGGACAGAAAGAGGGGTGTTTTATATTTTAAAGGAAATGACACTAAGAAAGAAGAGCCATGAACCTTTACCTTAACCTACCATAAAGCACTGTCTCTCACATACCAGTGAAGCTCTGAGAGCTGCCAAGACACACATGCCACAGCCTATCTGGAAACCTGGCCAAAGCCTCTTTCACAAAGTAAGATTAAAGAAAAAAGTTTAAAAATTAGGATACAAAGGACTGAATGCTACCACCAGGGAACTTCTTTTCATAGCTATCAACAGAGACTGAGCTGCACAAAAGAACACTTATTTACCACACAGAAGGGCTGAGCTGGAGATGCACAGTCAACTGAACAGGCTAAAAAAGAAAACTGACAGACTCAATAGGACAAAAACAAAAATTAGAGAACCTTAAAGAAAAACCTGGTGGAACTCATAAAGCAAATGAAAAGACCAAACCAACCAACAAAACCTCTGAAAAGTCATCTGGAAGAACAGACTCCCTGAACAGCATTAGAAATGTCAGAAGAACTATCACCGATGGGAGAGAATACAAAAACATTAACCAACCCAATGTGCCAGAAAACTTAAACACTTTGACAGAAGATGATAGTTACAAAAATAAAGTACCCAAATGGAAATGGACCCAGAAAAATCAGACCAACTGAGCTAAAATTATACATCAACTGAGCAGTATTGACTAAAAATTAGCCAATACTGAAGAACTGAAGATATTATGTTCTTCCCACTGTAAGTCTACCGTACCCAAAGGCTTTCATGAGTGCCTCAGGAATAGAAGTAGTTATTTAAACTGTTCCCAGTCACAGAAACAGACAGACTAACAAAACCTGGTTTTCCAAAACTGACAGGTGTGTACACCCCACAAACTAGAGCCATTACCTTAAAGATTCACTACTTTATTGGTAAAATCTAGCAAAATGTAAACATAATAAGGCTTATCACAGGAATATAAGAAAAGATAAATATTACAAAGCCTAAAAACATTACATAATCACAATCATCTCATATAAATTGTATAAAACTCAAAATCTTCAAAGATGATTTTATTTAGGAAGTAAGATTTAAAAATTTTAAGCCAGGTGTGATGGTACATGTCTTAATCCCAGCACTTGGAAGACTGAGGAAGAAGGATTTTGAGTTCAAGGCCAGCTTGGGTTATACAGCAAGAGCCTGTCTCAAAAAACCAAACATAAGAGTATAAAAGAGTACAAAGAGGGTTGAGAAAATTTTGAAGGAAGAAAGGAAAGGGGAAAATTGTCTCCTCATGTGTCCCAATAATTTGACACTCAAGAAGTTAATAAAATTGCTTTACAAGGCTACTACAATGGCTGGTAACTATTTAAAATTAGATAGAGAGATATGTTATTATTGTTACAACTACTCCTTTTCCATTCACAAAGTTCAAGGTCTGCACAAAACCACAGAGAAGGTCACCCGTGCTTTATCCAGCTCCCAATCCTGACATTAAAGCAATGCATCAGCCTGGCAAACACACAAGCATGCTCGCCCAGAACTCACTTCCATCCCACTCCCCTGACTACACTGCTACTCTCTCAGCTACTGGTGGTCAGTGCAGAAAAGCACTGCCCAAAGAAGCAGGCTCCACTTCCCACACCTCTCCTGGCCAGTTCCACAACTTTAAGAAGCCAGAGATTATTTTCACAGCTCCTCAACATCTGAATTTTGTAGCAAGATTCTAGGTAGGCAGTGCCCCTGGACTCTATTCCCATGTTCCCCTCCAGGACAGCGGAGTTTGCCATTAACAGCAGGTGAGGCATGAAGCAACAGCAAAATTGAGCCACCAGAATGCATCATGCCTGAGTGCAGGCATGTGTGCACAGAAAGGCAACCACAAGTGTCTGGGGCTTGAAATAGGCAAAAGTTAAATTACTGCTCACACTTATAAAATGTCCACTGTGTATGGCCAAACCCTGAAAATGGGGCTCCACTTGCTCATGGACCCTGGAACTCCTAACTGCTGGATGCACAGATTCACCATGGTCACCCTGTTGACCTCCAAAAAGCACAACCCTGGAATGAATTTGAACATCACCTGGTGTGCCTGGAAACTTTACGCTAGTTAAACAAATGAGATGCCGAGCATCTTAAATGCATACCACTGCAGCAATATAAAGCTTCTTTTGGTTGTTTAAGTATTGAAGGTTATTGGGAATATTCTGCAGTGTTAACTACAGAAATACAGAATTCCTACTGCATTCATAAAGACATATATTGATTAACAAGAATTAAGAAGATACTTTTATAAAAAGAATATTTGTGCAAAATTTCCTGGCTGAAAATGCAATCTCCACTAAGCCAGTGGGTAAAAACACATCTAAGCCTATTTGTTTTTACCTGATTCAATCTCAGAATTCTATAACTGCCTAGACTGGAGTTTCAATAATGGTGAATTGTTGAATATTATGGACGTCTCTATTCAAACACTTAAGACAAATCATCTCGGGCGGTTTCAAATTAAAAGCTTGTAAAATATGTAACCTCTCCTAGTTTTTGCAATTAATAGGGTACATCTGCAATTAGCCTGACTTACTGAATGCAGTGCTGTTGTCATTAAAAGATGTCTGTGGAAGTGCTGCTGTTATTATGGAGGCTCAGGAGACCAATCCCTCCTAGAGGGCAAACAGTGAACTGGTAGAAAACAACAGCCATAAATCACACTGTCAGCAGCAGGGAGAGCAAGCGAAGCACAGGCACATGAAGGCCATTCACAGTAAACACAGCACGCAGCTTCCCAGGCAGGATTTACTGCACCTGTAATTAATTAAAATTTCCTTCAAACTAAATCTTTAATAAACAAGGATTTGTGCTGACAATGAAGAAAAAAGGGCTCCAGCAACATCATTTTACAAAACACCTCACAGAATGAGCCCAGCATCTATCATTTCTTGTATCAGGTGTACACATCAACTCCAAAGTTGATAGGAATTATATCACTTTGCATTATCAGTGTGTACTTGGATTGGGTCACAAACATTTAGGATGCTTGGGGGACTGTGTGGGCCCCCTTTCTGTTTTTACTTGACCCCATCTCTTTCAGCTTTTTAAAAAGCCAGGTCTTTTGGCATTGTTTCAGAAGAAGGGACTTTTTAAAGAATGCATGATGGGGGCCGGACAGAGTGGCTCAAGCAATAAGAGTGCCTGCCTAGCCAGCTTGAGGCCCTGAGTTCAAACCCCAGTACTGCCAAAAAAAAAAAAAAGAGAGAATGCATGATGGCAGTTTCATCAGACAGCCAAGTTTCTGTGCGGTTTGCTTTTTAATCACACTCTACACTTTCCACTTGGGATCAAATGTATGTGGACATGAGGAAAAAAGCTCTAGACGTTGCATACAAACATTATTGATAAAGCAGGTGTGAACTTTTTATCTAGAAAATATACTGAATCAATCTGCCATGCCTCACTCACTTTGTGAAGTGCTTTGTCTCTAACAAGAGTAAATACCTGGTAAGAGTAAACATCAGGGGCCACACTAGGTTCTTCATGCATAGACATTAATCCAACAAACCCTCAAAAATTATTTTAAAATCCCTCTTTTACAGGTCACCAAACCAGGCTCAGAGAAGTTAAAAGTCCAATACCTTAAGGTTACAATATGGCAGATCTGAGGCTCATATTCTGGGTTGTAACTATAAAAACCTATGCTCCTAAAACTTTATACCAGTGTTGCTTTTCCCACTCTTATGCCTCTAAATGGCATGACCTGATCAAAATGAGGCAAAAAAAAAAAAAACCCTCTTTAATTATCTAAAATAGCCCATAGAATTACTGGTCCTACACAACAGAAAAAGGTGGGAGAGATAAAGTGATAATCATTTCAAGAAGATAAGCAATTTCCCACTACACATCTTCTCACAAACTGAAAAGGGTTCTTACTCATTAAATAAGCTTTACAACACAGTACTTAACAATGCCACCACCCGCTGTGAGCTAAGAGGTAAGCATCACAAGATTGCCTTCTCCCATTATTTTTGCTCCCCAAAGAAACAGTTGACTTTTCAAAGTTAGTTAAAAACATCATATCCATTTTTAGATGCTTAATAATATCAAGCACCAGAGATATAGTATTTATAGTTGTTCAACAAATAAATATTAAACTCTCAAAAGTTTTTCTATGCTAGAAAAGGGAATCACAAATCACAATGAGAAAAAGAAAATCTCAGACTTATTAAATGAGATTTCAACTGAACATTAAAGGAAATTCAGAAGCCTGAAATTTTCTTTATTAGGTTTGATCATGAGATTGAAATTATTAGACACATTTTCTTCATAGTCACTGGGTGGTGTGCATTTCATAACTTCAAATTATGCTGCCAATCAAAGAGACTATTAACAAAGATAACATAGGATGAAATGGTAAGAAAGTTGGGAAGCTAAATGGCAATTTGGGGAAGAAGAAGAATACATGTGCATGATCATTTGATACCTGTTTGCAAATGAAAATTTTTCAATATGGTATGTCATACTAGCAATAACAAAGCATTGATAAAATGAAAACAAACTACTTGAGTAAGGAAAACAATTATTATTAGTCTTTTAAATATTTGTAAAATGAAATTCTCTCCACTTTCCTATTTTGTTCAGTAGTGAATGTCCCTATGCCAAAGTGCCACTATTGCTCTTAGACAGGACAACCAGTGGATTTTGAAAGTTCACCCATGGAAAAAAGAAATCTCAGTTGATAAGGAAGAAAGGAAGTCAGGCATTGGATGCTGGCTTCAAGGACAGACTGGCATTGATAGTATATTTGAAATATGAGTAATAAATGTAGACTCTATCTTAATCTAACACACATTTTAGCTATCAAGTGTGCATAGGGTAGTGACAAAGCTCTATAAACACAGATAAAGGGAGGAGCAGAGGGACAAAATGTCATTTCAATATCTGAATCCAGAAACCAAAGATATGATCTTGGCCTAGGCAAAGGAACTACTGACACATTCTTAATGTGTCATCACCACATGTAACAACTGATATTGACAATAATACCCAATAAACTGATCACATTTTTAAGTCAAGAATATAGTTTGAAAAAAATATATTATTTCAATGTTCTGCACAACAATTCACATCTGTAGAGCTCTGAGGTTCTTTATAATGGGAAAAGAACAGTACAGGGGGTTAAGACAGCAAAAACACAAAGAAACAGTAAACTGCTTTTCCTTAACAATAACATTCTAAGTTGAAGTCCTTGGTAAACTGCAAAGCAATGAAAACCCGATAAACAACTACATTTATACATGTTTCTGTGGGGGCTAAAGCCATCTCAGAAGGTGGGACCAAAGCACTTGAAAGACTGAGGCAGGAGGATTATGAGTTCAAGGCCAGCTTGGGATAAAAAAAGTGCCTCTCTCAAGTGAGGTGAACCTTCCATGGCCTTTACAACTGCCAATGCTTTCCTTGGGTGCAGGAGAGCTCACTCAAGAGCTCAGAAGACTCAGGAAAGAATGAACCCAAGACAAACTGCCACTTCTTGTCAATAATGTAACCTGCAAACCTATAGTAAAACTGTCATTTTTATTTATTCAGCAAATGCTTATAGCACTTGGAGTGCAAAATGAGTCAGACACATAGAGCTTGCAGTCTAGATGCCAAGACAGATAGGAAGAAAAAAAAACCATATCACACTACTTAGAAAAGAGACAAACCTCTTTTTGATAACATGGCTGTTAACACAACTACAAATAATGGATGAAATACAGTCCAGGATTTGAGGAACAAAAAGCAGTAAGATTTGCTCTAAGTAGTAGGTTGCTTCTTTTGTTCACCAAAAACATGTCCAAAAGCATAATTACAAATGCATTTACCAATTAAGGCTAAGTGTCTGTTATCCCAAATGCTTGAGACCAGAAGTATTTCAGATTTTGGATATTTTTAGGATTTGAGAATATTCTCACATACATACTGAGGTAGCTTGGGGATACACACAAGTCTAAACATGGAATTTATTTATGTGTCATATACATTTTATACATACAGCTTGAAGGTAGCTTTACACAATATTTTTGGTATACTTGCATTATGACTGTGACCTGTCTTAGGACAGGTGTGGAGTTTTCTAGTATGGTATCATACCAGTGCTCAAAAAACTTTAGGTTTTAGCCTAGGCATGCTCAACCTGTGTATTACTTTTTGTGTCAACTTTCCTAAGACTGTTTAAAGCTACAAATGAATCCCTAGTCAAGGTCATCCAAGTCACCAATCTGTGACCCACACATAAAATCAGGCCACTGATTTGTGACCCCTTGCACATAATCGGGTTTGTGCTGCCCTTTCTGTGCCCAGCTGTGTTATGCTGGACAACAAATGTCATGACACCACTGTGGACTGTTAGAACAATAAAGCTGTATTCACAACTGTTTTGAAAATGAAGTCAATGTAAATGTATAATTTTAAATGCACAAAGAAATATAGGAATACATGTTAGAGAAATACATGTTTCAAAGAAAAAACAAATATATAAAATAGGGGAATTTAAAGCAAAACAAGTAAGAAGTACTAAAGTACTATAACATTACCTTTTTGTGGACACAGGAACCAGTTTCGTGCAGAATAGCCACTCTGAATGGAGGCCACCATGTGTGGAATTCTTTCACCCACTGGTGCATCACTGTCGTTGGACAGACAATGATGGTGGGACCCAAACCCTCGAACCTATACCCGAAGGTCCAAGACAAAAACAGCTGTGAAAGACAGCAGAGAGTGATCAGCTGCCAAAAACAAAAACCTTCTTTAATGGTTCAAAAAAGAAAATGCAAGCTACAGAAATTTACTGACATTTTCTTTAAAAAGCTATTGAAGGGCCAGGCATGGTGGTGCACACCTCAGGTAGGAGGATTATGATATGAGACTGGCCCAGGCAAAAGTGTGAGACCCTATCTGAAAAACAAACTAAAAGCAAAAGGACTGGAAGACATGGCTCAAGTGGTATGCTCAAGGACCTAAATTCAATCCCCAGTACCATCAAAGGGGGAAAAAAAAAGTTATTGAGGTTAATATGCAGTAAGTAAAATCTACATGAATCCATTCATAGATTAGTGCATGCAGGAATTAAGAGAAAATACCATACATAGTAAAGGGAAATCAAACAAATATAACAAAAATACTTTTTCTTCCCTTCTATTTCAGATTAGTGAAGTTATTATACAGTTTATTCGAACTCAAGTGAACATGACAGGATCTTAAATTTCTTTGAAACTTTACAGTCTACCAGAGTTTTCACCCCACAGAATTTCAACAAGTCTTCACCACCTTGGAAAGTAAGCAGGACAGAAATAATTCAGGGGTTCAGAATGCTGGTATGCCCAGGATGACATGACCAACAAGAGATGGGGGACTGCTCAGAAGTCAGCCCTCTGGTTGTTGTGGCCTGCCCCCACTACACCTGCCCCATACGATGACCAACATCAGGTGGCTGCTCTTCCCCCAACCCTACCCCCACTACTCTACACTGCTGGAGTATGACTGGACCACTGTGGAAAGTGCTGAGCAGCACCAGTCAGAGCCTTGCCAACAGTCACACTCACCTGGCCATCCCAAAACAAGTGTTTATGCACTAGGATGTACACTGTTAGAACCATGTATGCCATGGAAAAGGTGGGTCTGACAAACTTCAGGGGTAAGGGAGGGGATGAATGAACTACCCATTTCATTAGCACATCACAGGCCAGTGGGCAGGAATGCTGCCTGCATCTGAACCCTGGCTCTATGCTAACTGTATGACCTCAAGTACGTCATTTAATGTCTCTGAACTTCTCTCAAATGGGAGTAATAACAACACTGAGTGCATGGTTACTATGAAGAACATATCAGTTAACATTTGTGAAGTGCACAGTGTTTAGATACTGTTGGGGTTTATTAAATAAGATGAGTGTTACATTCCACTAAAATAGTTCTTGAGAACATTTAATAACCTGAAAAGCAAAAATTATTTATGGAATTATCCAATGCCTGACATTCAGGTACGTGGGAGCTGGGTGGGGGCTACTGTGTCAACATGTCCTTCTCCTCTCTGCTTCCCTGCAGAACCCAAGCAGGGGCATTTGCTGCTCTCCCCTTCCCACTTCCACCATCACAGATGTGTACTATATGGGACCCTGACCACTGATCTGGCCTTGAAGTGGTAATCCCATCCATCAAAAGTCCATCAATGCACAGCATCCCCCTGCAACTCTCACTAGTCCACAAAGCTGTCCTGGTAGGGCCAACTGACTCAGAAAGGAAACCTTACACTCCAGGTTTGGGGAGTAGCTTCTCTTTCACTCTTTCCTACGGCAGGTACAGTCCAATGACCAAGGGTGGAGGATGGAGTGGATGCTGGCCAGTGCTTAAGATAAGGTTGAGGCTGGCTATAGTGGTTCATGCCCATAATCCCAGCTGTTTGGGAAAATACCAGTTCCTTGCAAGGTGCAGATTGGGGGAATCACTGTTTGAGGTGTGTTGAGGTTAGCAACACACCATCTCAATCAATAAGCTGGATGTGACAGTGCATGTCTGTCATCCCAGCTACTCAGGAGGCATAGGTAGGAGGATCACAGTCTGAGGCCAGTCCCAGGCAATAATGCTAGACACTTTCTGAAAAATAAGTAAAGTAGAAAAGGGCTGGCAGTGTGGTTCAAGTGGTACAGCGCCTGACTAGCAGGCACAAAGCCACGAGTTCAAATGCCAGTACCACAAAAAAAGAAAAAAAAAAAAAGATGAAGTCAAAACCAAGCAGCAACCAGAGTGATACCATGCTCACACTCACTCATGCTACACGAGGCAGCTGAGAACCAAGGCTCACCAATGGCCCACGGGCCACCTGGTCTGCTTCCCTTTCATCTGGAGCACACTCATCAGCACATCTGAAACTGCCCTTCTTCCCCTCCTCATTCTCTTTCTGCCCAGCAAGAATGATGACCATGGAGTAAACTGCACAGAATTACACTCTCCTACCCCAGTAATCCCCACTGAGCAGGATGCCAACCTACTCTATACTCAGATCTCTTTCCTGCACTCCAAACTGCCCCACTCTAGGTATTTAATTGCTAACACAGATGGTCCCAAAGCACCACATAGGCCATTCCCTCCCCCAGGATTCCAAATCCAATGGACAAAACTGTCATCTATTCTCCAGGGACCCAAATAAGAAATCCAAGCCTCACTCCTTGATCAGTTCCATCATGAACCACCTACACAAGTTTGTGTCACTTCTCACCTTAAATCCCTCTCTAAGCTACCATGTCTCTCCCTCTACACTGTCACTATTCCAGCTTCAGCCATTATGATCTCATCTAAGTTACTGTAGCTTCCAGCATGATTTCTGAAAGCAAAACCCGAATGCCTCATCCTCTTGCTTCAAGGCCTCCAAGGGCTGCTCACTGCTCTTGGGAAAAGTCTATACCCCTTGGCCTGGTCTATAAAACCATAAGGATCTAGTCTGTGCTCCGCCCACCAACTCATCTATCCCACTGTCATTACCCCATCACCTGCCCCTGTGGCCAGGATCCCACCAGTCTGAACTGACCTCAGTTCTTACAAGATGCACACTCTGTGACCGCTCAATCTTTGCTTGACCTTTCTTTTCTTCTTCTCCCTCCCAACTACCTTCTACTCATTCTTCACCTCAGCTTCCTTGAAGCCTTCCCCGTCCCTTTCTCTCCAGACAAGCTGATGACCCCTCCTCCCTGCACTCACACTGACCACGTGTAACGTGTCACTCCTCTTAAGTAACTCTAGAGCAGAGACAATCTCTTCTTAGAATGATCTCAAGGCCTAGCCCACAGCGGGTAAAGAATGAATATGAAAATATTTTTACAGTTGGAAGAAAGCATGTCCAAAATGTGAAACAGATTTTTTCTGAGATGAGGGACTATGACTGATTTTTATTTTCTTAATCATCTTAATAAATGATTCCAGAACTTAAAATAATGTTTGTAAATGATTCACAGTAAACAATGCAGTGTTTTGAAGTACTAAAAATCATCTTCTGTAAAACTGAAAAATAATTGGTCTAACAAAAGAACAAAATTTGGCCAAACCCTAACTTAAAGGAGGTTCACCCTTATGTTCCAAGGTGATGAAATGCCTCTGCCCACATATGAACTTTCCCACTGTCTGCTATATATGGTCACTGCCCATGGCCCTCAGCTGGGGAGCAAGAGTTGGACCACAGAAGTCAAAGGGCCACAACAGACTCAACATGTCCTACAGAATTTCCAAGCTGTGCTATCACCAAAGGTGGGGCCAAGACAGGTGTCCCTAAAACTCTCTGGGGAGAGTAGAACTCTGCCCTGGCCCTTGGCCCCTTCCATGAGAGCATTCCTTTTTAAAAGGATTAAATGCACCAGCTTCTTTATATCCTCCAAAGGGAATAAAAAGACAGTTATCATCAATATGCACTTAGCAGGGATTAGGGAATGACCTATGAAATACTGTCTAAAATATTTAATAACAAACTCACATTAAAAAAGCATGAATACACACATATGCCCTTTCAGACTATACAGCTTTTTTTTCTTTTATAATATACCTTCAGCAAACTGCTACACTTTCGCATTTAAGGCTACTATTTTCTTCTGGATGAACATCTATCTGGCAATATCATGCCCTTGAATTTTTGCCATTCTTCCTCTATTACAAGAATGAGGAGGTTTTCATGCTGAGTTGAAATCTCAGAGCCTGGCAGATGTTTCTTGGACCACAGAAGGGGCAATCAAACCCATTAACAGTTCTGTCAACTGAACCACCCTTTTCCAACCTCATATCAGTGAGATGAGCATAAGAAATGGCTAAACGTACTAAAGTGATTAGCATCAATTACTAAACAGACTATAGTTCCTTTAATCTTTGATTACCATTGATTACCTAATAAATTTAGGACAAGTCAATAGCTTGTCCTAAATTCAATATTATTTCAATGTGCAAGATGGAGATCTGCTAGCCATAGCCTAGAACTTAATAGGAATTACAAAAAGTCATTCCTAGTAAAGTTTACTAACATTTTTAGGATACTTAATCTTCATTAAAAATTAACTAAATGGGGACAGGGGGGTGGGAAGCAGGAGGAGAGGTAGCCTAAACAATGTATACACATATGAATAAATGTAAAAACAATAAAAAAGAAATTAACTAAATGACAAATAAGACACTTAAGTATTAACTGAAAATCTAAAGATAAATAATTAACTTCCTCCCCATCATAAAGTTCAGAGTCCCCATCATTACAAGAATGGCAAAGGGAAAAGCCACTGTATCCATTAAGAACTGAGAACACAAGTCAGTATACAGTTTTATTAACTACATGCTTCCCCCTCTTCTAACAACAAACATGCATACAATGCACATTAAAACACCGCCAACAAAAGAAAATAAACCAAACTGCTTTACCATGAAGTTTCTTGGTATCACTAAGACTTGCATAGTTCCAATGTTTGTGGACCTTAAAACTCAACACTAAAACCATCTCAAATTAGTACCCCAACATCTCCAATTTCCAAGAGTTCAGAGGAAATGAACTGAGTGAATGAAGCAATGCCAGCTCATGCAGAACTTCTTTTGACCTCAAAGGATGACTATTTTCTTTAGGACATAAATGTAGAGGAAAACTCCAAGTCAACCTAATTTCGGAGAAGGACATGTTATATAGAACTGTTAGGAAAATGTTATCCAATTTGCTTGGGCACATTAAGTGGAGGGGAAGTAAGCTCCTCAGCAAAGTTCTATTCATGAAGAGCCCAGTTGTTTGGCTGATATATTGCCATATTCTCAGAAACACTTCTACCAATACTATTTTAATAAAGATAATGTGGGGCTAGCCCAATATCTACCCCGTGTCATTTTGGAAAAGAGAACATGACCACTGATAGCTAACTGATTACAGCTGATGCTCACTGTTAGACCAACTTCACTCCTAGCAGGATTGGCACCAATTAAAAATTGTTTTAATTTTTAGATCAAACCTACACTGCAGGGATGGCTTTAGGTTTCCTAGGCCCAGAGTATTAGACTACACGTTTCATGATAATAGGAAGGGAAGGGAAGAAAGAGATGAGAAATAAGAAAATACCATAAATCATTTAAGGAGAGACAGTTCTAGAAACCACATGGGGCAGCTTACGACTCTCCAGTTATCATTATCAAAACAGTCCAACAGAGTCACCCAGGCCAAGCTAACCAAAAAGCTTACTTACAACAAAGAAAGCATTTGTGTAAAATGCTAAACTACTAACTGTCATAGGTAAAAGAACATTAAAATGTAACAAAATCCTAATATTTGAAGGAAAGTCTCTGCTTCAATACAACTTTCTTAGAACAAGAATAACAAAGTATAAATTTAGCATTTAAAAATCTCTAAATGTTTTCTCCCTTCTACAGTTATATAAATACTTCTAGGATTCTGAAAGTATTTTAAAACTCAAATGCTCCTCACAAGAAGGGTTGACCTGCTAAGTGAGAGTAAGAAAGGAAAGCACAGTGCTACACTGTGAACACTAAAAACAATGGTCTTTACTCAATGGTTTGGTCTGTGTTTGGCACTTATAAACAGTTCTAGGTGGAAGCACTAGAGTGTAGGATAGTAACATTCTGCAGTTGTGGACTTGAGGCACATGGATACTGTTTCAAAGGTATCTCCAAATCATACCTAGCCAGTGCCTGAGGTTCCTGGGACAGAGCCGCCTGGTAACTATGTTGCATTACTCATTAGATAAGCCTACTGAAACAGGAGCGCTTGGATTATCTGGGTTCAATAATAAACATCCTATATAATTTACCTACAAATATTTTTACCAATACAGAGTTCTACTAAGCCAATTTAAAACTTAAATATGGAAATGCTCACAGTTCTTTATTTAAAGACCATGCATTTCAATGCTATCATACGGAACAGATTAAACCCTTACTCTTTTGGAATATTAAAGACTTAAATTTATTTAAATTTCTAAGAATAAAGATTAAAATCTAAACATTGTTTTCTATAATTTTAGACAGTTGTTTAGGCTTTGGCCTTGGAATGTGTATGAAATTCGAAAAGATCAAGAAGGGAGTCCAAAGCACAGTGAGCGGAGAAGTAACTCATTCAAAAAAAGAGAGAGAGAGAGCTATCTATAAATGCTATCATGCACACTGACTATAAAGGAAATTAGGGAGAATGGCTTCTTCAAAGCTCCAACTTTCCCTATGAATAGACTTTGTACTTACTGTAATGCTCACCTGGTCTCCTGCCAGAACAAATATTTTAATGTAAAATTTAATAAATGGAACTAAAGGTATTATGTCTAATTTAAAATTCCATATTGTGTAAACTATTGATATTAACATAATTGAGTTTGTAAACAATCCATTTGCAGGAGCTAACCTTAGACATTGTATTGACCCAAAATATCTAGTGGGGCTCATCTGCAAAATGAAGCATCAATGCCTGGAATTCATTAAAAGTGTTACATGTTTAATTTCTCCTGCCCTACAGCTCCACTGTCTCGTAAAATTTTTCCTTTGATGTCCCCCACTAAAAGAATTAAAGGAATATTGTAATTGAAATGTCATCAATAATTCACAAGACCCTCCTCCACAGCAATACATCTGATGAAATATTAATTGAGCTCCACAGACTGACAGTCTGCAGAGGAGCACTTGCCTGTAATTTGAACCACGAGTCCTGATCTTGCTGTAGCTCAGACCTGCCAAGAAGGCAATTATCTGGATGGTCTTGCCCAATCCCATTTCATCTCCCAGAATTCCTCCTGCCTGCTGGCAGTGCAATTCCCACAGCCACCTAACACCTGTCTGCTGGTACCTATAACAACAAACACCAACAAGAAAAGAGAAAATGGCAAATTGTGGGTAATACACATCATAACAAAAAGTACTCATGAATAAATCATTTGACTAGGTTCTAGTACCAATCAGAGAAACATGCCGGATGTGTGTTTTACATGAGTATTATATTTATAAGGTCATACATTTTTGATCACCTAGGCATAAAATCACAAATTTTTCTTCACAGAATGTTAACACATTTCTAATTAAACTGATAGATGAGGTAATTAGGGACTATTTCATTTCTTTTTCAACATTACAAACAGCTTGGTAAACAAGCATAAACTTATTATCTTTCATTCACTCTTTCTGGGGGAAAAAATCCAAAATATTTTTAGCACGTAAAGTTCCACAAACTCTACAAAAATAATAATAATAATAATAAAAAGGCAACACGTTTATTTTTTCAGTAGTTTTTTGTTTTTGTTTTTTGGTGGGACAGGGTTTTGAACTAAGGGTTTCACACTTGCAAAGCAAGTGCTCTACCACTTACGCCACACCTCCATACATTTCTTTTTTTCAATGAATAACATCAAAAACAGCAGGACAGAAAACAAAATTTGTAGCTTTTGCTACTGTAAAGTCACTTGGTAATCATATTATCTTTTTATAGAAAAAATTAAATTAAGTTTTAAGGCCATAAACAAGTCTGAATAATAGGACCGTCTTCAAAATTAGTATATAATAGATGATTCTGTCATATTACTAGCAGATGCAAAAAAGAACAATTTAAAGACTGAATAATACAAAAAGGTCTTTTAATATTTTAAAGCAGAAATTGATTCAGGGATTTTACCATAGGTACAAGATCAGAGCTGTTAAAATTTTAAAGAAGGAACACAGGTCAAAAATAAACAGTATATAATATATATACATCCATCCCTTTCCCTTCTCAAAACAAATAGGAGTGGATATTTTCTTTTCTCTACCAATGGAACATTCAATCTATAAACCTAAAAACGAAGGGTTTTTTTTTTTTAAGGAATAATACTAAAATCTTTTTAAAAAAGATTTAGTATCTTAGAATGGTGTAAAGATTATAAGCCAAGTGAAAAAATCTAAAGCAAAAACCACTTAAAAGATTTGAATTTAAGGATTCCCCCCTCCAAAGAAAATACACAGGCTAATGAAGTGCCAGGGCAGGTTCCCATTGATGTTTTACTGCTCTGGTGTCTCCTCTTTGTTGTCTGGTATGCCCACTTAAAATCTCGTCTTGGACTTCAGTTCTTATTGAGCTGATTTTACTTTTTCTCTTCGCAGTAAATCTGTCATGATTAACTTTCCCCCAACACTTGGCAAATCAATTTTTGAAGTTTTATTCTGTTGCCATTAATACCTACAATATAAGGAAAACTTTGAGACATTTACCGCTGGTTGCTAATTATAATAAACACTGGATATGCACTTTGGAGAAAAGGATTAAAAATCAAAACACATGATGTCTAGTATGAATATCAATTAATTTGGGAAGAAGGACAAGTTCCACAAATGTGTGGTATGTCATCAGAGAATAACAGCCACCACTTAAGGAGCCCACTGCTAGGAGGCAACATGCCAGGTGGTTTGGATACAGCCTCACAACCAACCTTCTCAGAGGCAGTCGTCAGCACATTTTATAGTTAGGAAACAAAGGCTCAGAATGGTTAAGTGATTTGCCAAAGGTCACACTGCTAAAAAAATGTGAAAGCCAGAACTGAAATCCAGAAGTCCCAAGTGATTCCCCTTTGGAAATAATCTAAACCAATGGTTCTCAACTGGGTGCACTGTGCTCCCTTGGAACATATGGCCATATCTTAGACATTTTTATTACAAGTGGAGAAGTGCAATTAGGGTATAGTCAGCAGAGGCCAAGAGAGTCACCACAACAAATTATTTGGCCCAAAATACCAAGAGTACCCAAGGTCGAGGAAACCCTGATCTGGAACAAAAGCGAGTTCATGAACTGGCAGCTCTTGAAAAGAAAAATTACAAAAAGTCCTTTAAAAAAAAAACTGTGTGCATTCCATTTCCAGAATCACTAAATTCTAACCGACTGACCTCCTCTTACCAATTATGGGACCAGCTCTTAAGGCAGGGACCAGAACCTCCCAGCAATCATCCCAGGGTTCTACCCTACCACACCACACTGCCTCCACTCAACATAGGAACCAATATTTCTCTTTGTATGGGGCTGAAACTGGAAAAAAATCTCAAAAGCAGCAATTAGGGAAATGTTACCATTGAAAGAATCTGAGACTGGGATGGGATACTGAATTCTGTGTGTCCCTAGACAGGCAGGAACAGAGTACTGGGTGTTCCCACCTCTCCAAATCTAATCTCCAGGGGCCTTCAAAGAGCACATTATGGTCTATTTAGATGAAGATGAGAAGAACTGAGGAAATCACTTAAGGGAAGATAATGAACAAGCATCCCAGTAAGCTGCATCTCCAACAGCTAGGGAGATTGTATAAAGATGTTGCTGGGGTTCTGCTCCACCCACCCACAGCACAGGCATGTCCTCAGGCTGCAGTGGAAAGAAACTCACTCAAACGCAAAAGCAGCTGCCACCTGGTTACAGGGGTGTGTGCTGAGTGAGAAGCAAGGGGCCTGGGCTCTGGTTCCTCAGAAGCCCTAACTGATTTTGGTTTTACTGCTTTATACTCCTAATAAACAGTGCAAAACAATTACATAGTTAAAATGAAAACAGGTTACAGACTCTAGTTTTCCAAATCTCTCAAAAGTGTATTAAATTTACTCTTCAGAAAAAGTTAAAGATACTTATAAACTATTGTAAGGGAAATTACTATACTCTGCTATCCCCATGAAGCAGAAGTGTCAGAAAATAACCACAGATAATTGGTGTATGTGTCTTGGCATTGTCATATTAACCCAAGATTGCATTTACTAGTTTGGTTAAAAGGAAGGTCAAAAGATTGAAATTTGTCATGTGGTTGCTAAATTATACAGATAAATGCATTTGCTGGGCAAACTTTCAGAACAGAAATTTAAAAGTTAAACATTATCTTGCAGAAAATAGCACTTAAATGGAAAACTGTACCTTCTGACTCCCTGGTATACAACTATATAGCCTATCAACTCAATTCCACAGAGTGCAGTAAATGCTTAAATATATATATATATATATATATATATATAACATAAATATGTTAAAAATATATACAGTTTAAAATAAATTGGCTCAGCAGAAACTTAATTACAAAAGAAAAACAGAGATTCTACCTATCCTATTAATTTATTTTCATATGGCAGAAGAAAAGGAACAGAAGTTTTATAATAATGATAAGATATATAAATCCTGTTTTTGTAGATATAAAAACAAAATACTTTCTAGGAATGTACAGTTAAGACTAAGAACACAAACAAACATGTATTTATGTTAACTATACTAAGGTTATAACCATGTAATTAATCATAACAGGGTTAATATCTAATAGACTGACTCTTAGTAAACAAAGTTTGCTTCTATTAACTATGAAACCTGTTTCCTAGAAAATCTGACATTTATACAAAATGTACATTCAACTTGATTCCTGAGGGTATTTGCCAAATCATTTACTACACATACAGAGGTACCCTGTCTTCGTTAAATCAACTTAATCTATAATCTGGGTGTTCCTTTTGCTAGTACAGCAAAAGGAATTTGACTGTTCCTTAATAAGCAATCACTTTAGAAAAAGTGAAAAGAGTTGCCAATAAATGTTGCCTTTATTTGCCTTTCTGTAGTTAATTCTCATTTGGGGGAAATAACATACAAAGCAGTCACCTCTCCAGGCTAGGAAATGACTTCTCTGCTGAAATTATTAGAGATTTAGTTTTTGCCTTCAACACAGTTCTTCCTCTGTTCAGTTATAGCCACCCAGCCAGGTCAATTCACATTGTTAGGACTCAGCTTTGCCTCTCCTATCTCTCTCAATATAGAAATAAATTAAACCTTAATATAGAACTGGGGATTTGGCTCAGTGGTAGAGCTCTTACCTAGCATGTATGGGCACTGGATTCCATCTCCAGCACCACACACACACACAAATACACACACACACACACACTATATATATATTTGTATATATATATATATATATATATATTTACACATATACACACGTATATATACACACTCACATGTATGTACATCTATATATGTATACCTACATATATGCACATTATTTATTTACACACATATAAGCTCTTTGAGAAGGAATATAAAGAGCATGCTATTTTTAAATAGATATCTTCCATAAGTTTAGGGCATGCTGACGGCTGAATCTATAAAGGACATTAAACTTAATTATCTCACAGAAAGAAGTTTGCATCCTGCTCCAGACTACAAATTGATGATATGAAAGAGAAAGAAGCTATTTAATGGTTTAACTTCCTATATGCATCTAAGAAGCCTTCCTAAAGCACCTTGTTAAGTAAATCCCAGGAGTGAGGAGATTGAAAATGTTCCTGGGTATTTACATTCATCATGGGAGACCCGTCCAGAGCATGCATCTATCAGGTAGCATCCAGTCATCCACACATGGCCACTTTACATATGGAACTTAAGTCAGCCTCCAACAGCAACTAAATCCTTGAGGTGTTGTTGCCTATGTCTTCTTTTTGATGTGAGAATGACATCTACATAAAATATTTAGATGTGCATTTGTTCAGCTCAAAAGTATTACACTCTTAGGTACAATATAAGGCACTCAGAAAATAATCTCAACTATTTTTTTATTTCCACATAGAAGGAAAAACCCTCCCCAAGGTTTGATTTTAATAAACAACTTTTGATATTGATTTTAATATACAACTCATCAAATTAATCTGATTTAAGAAATTAGAGATTTGGTCCCTTAAAATTACTAAGAACACAAGGAAAACTAATTCAATGGAGAGGCTTTTAAATGCATTGCTCTTAGTCTGCTGAGACAGGTCCATATAGATTCATCAGTTTACAAACATACCCGATGTGCACTTTAGTCAATTTATTATCATCTAATTTTAATGAATAGCCATGTAGCTAAAATTTCATTTGACAGTGTCTGTATTTGCAATAAATTGCTGCAAGTACCTTAAGGGTCCACAGTAACTAATGTGTAATTCCTAAAATATTAATTTGTACACAATGGCCTGCTGACAAATATAGAGGACAGAACAAATACAGAGGCACATACTTAAAGAGCTTTTTGAACAGAAAACCTGGCACTTTAAAGCCTTCGTCAAATTCAGCATCACTTTCCTCAGAATCATCTTCAAGCTTCAGACATTTCTCTTTGTCCTGCAGTCTCAGTTTATTCCACTTCCTACCAAGAAAATAAAAGTCATGTTCAAGTTATTTTTATTACAGACAGATTGAAATAGCTAGTCATAGGTCACATACTGGGCAAACACAAGGAAATCAGAATGGTCTTTCAGTTTTCTGAGCCATAATTACCCAAAACACTGACATTCAAAGAGGAAAACTAATTCTCTTTTCCTGCCTTCTCAAGGCAATTCTTATTTGAATTATTATAGCTACTCTAAAAATATTCCTATAAGGTCTCATTTCATTATCCAAACTATTTGCTCCTTTTCTGGCATACCCTAAAGAAAAATTTCTATGCTAGTTCCTGAGATAAATGAAAAAAGATTCAGAAAAATTTCAACATAGCTAAGTATCTCCAAAATAGTGATACAGTATAGTAAACATATTTAACTAATAATTACTATTTGTGTGCTAGTTGTTAGGTGGAATAATATAGCATCTTGGGCATAAAGCAAATTTCTGGTCAAAACTGCCATTATCAGATTCCCTTTACTTAATTGAGGAGGAGGCAACAATAACATCAAAGCACTCAGAAAAAATACATTCATTGGATGAAGTCTAAGTTAAGAAATTAAGAATATGATACTTTTACATACAAAATAAGATGAACATGTATATTAACATGTATATTTCAAAAGCACAATACCATGTCTGTTTATCAAAAAAAGTGTCAGTCATATAAGCTATGAAAGTCTTACAACACACCACAGTAGTACAGAAGGTGCAGCCATTTAACCAGACTAATTTTGCATTCATGTAACTATAACGAACAGTGGTATTATGAATAAACAGAAAAAAAATTACTAGAATAAAAAGTCTCAGATTCCATTCACATTCAAAATAAAAGGATGATTTTCAGCATGTTGCAACTGACACTCTGAATGTCATAAAAACAGTGTAAATGTAATAAAGTAACAATACTAATAAATGCCTTCAAACTAAAAAGCTCACAGGAAGGGAATGAGAACAGCAACACACACAAGAAGGCATTCATCTCCCACTGATTATGCAAGAATGTCAGAGAACATCTTAGGGAAGGCAGAAAAGAAAAGGAAAGGTTAAGACTACACACTGATGGCTGGAGGGGTGGTGTGTTGTCCAATGTCCATCACAGAAGCAGCATGGAGGCCAAATGCCAGTGCCCGGCAACCCACTCAAGTCACTGCTGGTGGATCATAAAACACATCCTCTGATAAACTTGCCTAGCTGAAAATCTCAACCCTTCAGCTGAAATTTACTTGTAATCAGTAAGAAAGCACTCGTTGGTGATCTGAAACTGCACTACAATGCAGTGAGAGCACCTAAAAATAAGATCAATGAAGCCTTGTTGGTAATTTCCAGAGAAAGGCATCAAATGGAAGAGGCATTACATGGCCAAGTCTAGGGAACCAGCTATCATATAACCATATGTGATACTCCTTTACATAAAAAATTTAAATATCCTTTTTATGCTTAACTTTTAAAGGCAATCTCTTCCTCTCTTTTATTATTTTTCCTCCTTAAAAATAATCTCTACACAACTGACAAAATGAACTATCTCTAGGTGGCAGTAATAGTCTCTGTTACTCTTCTGAGTTTCATGCTATTTACAAATTTAGTTCTGCATTGAAACTACACAATGGTGTACAGCAGTGGTTCTCAACCACTGAAGAATTACTGGGGTAATTCTGTTCCTCACTGCAACCCAGGGTAACGTGACAATGCCTACAGACATACTGACATACTGGGCTGTTAGCAGTGGACAGACTACTGCTGGCATCCTGCAGGTAGAGCTCAGGGTTACTGCTAAACATCCTATAACCCAAAGGCCAGCTGCTCCCCCCACTAAGAAGTTACCTAGTCTCACATGTCAATGATGTCAAGGCTGAGAAACCCTGGCATACAGGTATATCCTTACTATCAGAACTTAGAAACCAAAAAGATGTATATACAGATTCCTGATATACATATCTGAATTCTTGCTACTCACTCTCAGAAATTTAGCCATGAAGCAGTTTAAGATGAGATATTCCATCAGAACTCAGCACCTAATATCTGCCTAGCAAAAGACATTTGTATGTAGCAAATTTGTGGGTAAGTGAAACTCCAAGAAATCACAAAAGCTATCATAGCCACTTAAAAAGACTTCAGTATGCAATTTCTCGAAGATGATTTTATAGGAAAAGAAATAAAAACACCAGATACTGACTTTAGCAGTTTGGCATAGGATCATAAATACTTTCTATATAAGCATATCACATATTAAACTTCATTGACAAGTGACAGTTACTTCCTTAGACTTAGCCAATAAATTTTTGTGGCTGTTAAATTTCTCACCACATCACTCTGCATCAATAAGGTTTCACCTTCTCCTCCTGACTCCCTCTGTCCTAAAATACATAGGCATCATGTCACCACAGGACTCAGCACCTAGGAAACCACAAAAGCCACCACAGATATGACTGCCTCCCAGAGTCTTCAGCTTTGTAAAGAAAGATGAACACACTGAACATTTATACAGTTAAGACAAAGGATGAGTAAAAGTGGTCAGGGAAAATCATTATAGTCTACAAGTACCTATATCATTGTGAAGACAAATCACCCCAGTAAAATCATATACACATACTAAAGACAAAGTACAACCACATGCACATGTGGCTCAGGCTGAGAGATTCTGTTACATACTGCAATACTTCCTCATAAGGCTTAGAGCTGACATCTAATAAGCACCCACAAAAGTGATACCATAAGAAGGCACTGGCCAGATGGACCACGCAGCACACCAGAGAGAGGGAGGAGAACCAAGTTACTCAAATACAGAATACAGAAAGAAACAAGAGTCAGGGACATAGGTCAGTAGCAGAGCACTTGCTTAGTATGTGTAGGTCCTGGGTTCCATCCCCAGCACCATAGGAAAAAGGGTGGGGGGGATAGTGGCCTTCCCCATCCTAGGTGCCATCTTTACCATGATCTCTAGGTAATCCTGCAGTCTGGCAGACTGAGCAATCTGTCTAGCCAGCACAAAGATGTAAAGGGGAAAACTGCTATGAATACACTGGATTGGATGCAGGCAGAACCAAAGGCCCACATATAAAATTCTGGGTGCAGACTAGCTAGAATCAAGTCCTGCTCCATTCATTAGCTCTGTGTTAGCTTTCCATCACTGTGACAAAATACCTGAGAATATCAACTTAAAGGAAGAAACGTTTATTTCAGTTCATGGTTTCAGTTCGTTGTCACGTGGCTCCAATGTTTCTGAGCTATGGTGAGGCAGAACATCATGGCAAGGAACTTGTGGTGGAACAAAACTGATCACCTCATGGTGGAGATGGCCAGGAAGCAGAAAAAAGGAAGAAAGGGTCTGAGGACAAGATATAGTAGCCAAGGGCAAGTCCCCAAAGGACTCACTCCTTGCAAATTGGTCTCATCTCCTAAGCTTTCATCATCTCCCAATAACCCAATCAAATTATGAACCATCAATGGACTAATCTATTGATGAGATCAAAGCCCTCATGATCCAACTGCTTTCCAAAAGCTCACCTTTCAACACTGCTACACTGGAGTTCAAGCCTTCAACAGGAGCCTTCTGGGGACATTCCAGATCCAAACCATCACATGCTTCTTAACCCTCAGCAAGTAATTAACCTTGTTAGCATCTAAGTTTCCTCTACTGAGAACAACGATACCTACTTCACTGTTTTTAGGGAAGAATGACTCATGCAAAGCATAGCACAGAGATACAATATAAGTGCTTAACGAATTTAAAGAGAAATGCTGGAAGCTGGCTCAAGTGGTAGAGTACCTGCCTAGCAAGCACAAAGCCCTGAGTTCAAACCCCAGTACCACATCAAAAAAGAGAGAGGGAGGAAAGGAATGAGGGAGAGAGGGAGAGAGGGAAGGAGGGAGGGGGAGGGGGGAGAGAGAGAGAGAAAGAGAGAGAGAGAATTACACATCATCACAAACACTTATGGAAATCCTCACACTAACCCTGCAGCAGGTACTACTACTACACTTACTTAGAAGGAAACAGAGGCTATGTACAACTCAACATGAACTACATGCAACAATGCAATATCTCACAAATGTTTCACAGAAAGCTAATAGCTCATCAAATGGATGCTCAACAAATTATCATGAGTAATATGGTTGCCATATGAGTAAAGGCACCTACCCTTTAGAAGACACCTATGGGAATGAATCAATTCACAAATTCTGCCATGGACTGGGGCTGCAGCTCAGTGGCACAGTACATGCTTAGCATGTGCAAGGTTCTGAGTCCAATCCCCAGCAACAAAAATAAAAATAAAAATGTTGCCATAAATTTGTAAACAGAAAACTGTCGTGAAGTATGGTGGAATTTTATATGATAGTAACAAAAAGGAGATACAGAATGACTTAAAACTGGATAGAGGGAAGTCAAAGTGAAGATCTGGGCCCAAGTGAGCCAAAATCTTAAAAGTTAGAAATGACCCCCCAAATTTCTAAATTCTGTTACTTCAACAAATGTATCTATTAACTGAGAAAAAGCAGAAAGGAACAATAGATTGTCCAATATTACTTTTTTTAGAAAAGGAATAGCTTTTCCATGTTCTCTATCCTCTCATTTTAAAAACTCCACACATGTAATAGTCACAGCTGCAGCCACATAAAACGAAGTGGGCCTGGTGTTCCCTGGCACAGTTTCTAACTCCTCACATGGCTGCCATGTTCAGTCCGCTGTTGACTTCACTGGCAGCCCCTTAGAAGAGAAGCCAGTAATAAACATAAACTTATAATCCCTGTCAGATGCAGGCACAGAAAACACTTCCTGGCTTCCCCTCACTCATGCAGGAGGAGACTCTAGCCCAGGCTGTGGGCCTGGGGCTGATACTGCAATAATGATCTGTCAGAAGCAGTAGCTCAACTACACCAAGACCACTGCAAGTTACTGGAGTGCCTTACAATAGAACCCTAAGAATACACCTGAAAGCTAGTTGCCACCATTTAGTGATAATTTATTTTACAATTTCCAAATCCCAA